TTTCAATGTAACCTCATTTCTTAAAATATACGTCTAAATTTATTTAAAATTTTGAGGATCTGAAAGTAAATAAAAAGTTCATGATATCGTGTGATGTTTCATCTCCTTTTGATTACCCTACTTTTAATGGAAACATCTTCTCAACAATGAAATCTACAGGTAGTTTGATCATGGGGTCACCTATGACCCAATCTTAGCAGATTATTTTCTGTCATAACTAAAGAATGATTCCGTTCCTTGATGTTCTACTAGTAAGAAGATTAGATGGAACTCTGAAATAAAGTATATATAGAAAGCCACCATCGACAGGTGAATACAAGCACTTCCTTAGAGCCGTACCCCTCCAGTACAATAGGAACATGATGAAATGTTTAGCATCCTGCGCCACAGCTATTTGCTCTAATGATGCTATGGAGGAAGAGTCCGCTATCATCCGTAACCTCCATTGAAGGAATGGCTAGTCCACAAAGTTTGCAACTAACCACATCAATGTTTCAAAGGTTAAGTCAACAATGCTAGCAATCCCTATGAAACAAGTCTTCTTCAAACTGGAATTCAAGAATGGTTGATAGCTTCACAAAAAACATGAAATAACCCTACAAAGAGCATTTCCAGTCACTAAATAAAATCCATCTTTTACAACCATTCGATTTCAGGAGCTAGAAACAGAGACAAGCGATATCATTCTACCAATTTCAAGTACATTTATCGCTTCAACTACTCCAATGAATTTAGCTACATTCAGTGTACAATAAGGCGTTAAGTTCGTCGTCAAATTCCTAAATACCATACCATAATGACTGAACAAGGGATAGATTAGCACTATAAACATCTCCATACTTGCACACTTAGTTGACAATGGACATCAAATGGGTAATTACAAGTAAAGCATTTTAAAATTTCTATCGCATAACACCTGCTTTGCGCAAACGAATTACGAATTTGTGTACTTCACAAAAAACACAGGTGATTACAATCCACCTTTAACAAAACTTTTATATTCACCAAAGCAATTTTTTCAATCCCTTGCATTCCTATGACTATCAATATGATTTAACTTTCAGTATTATTATTTGTCCCTTGGGTTCCTAGTGGAACATAAGGTTTCAGTAGCACATCTCCATTCCACTCTCCTCTCTCCAATCTTTTGGACCTGGTACCATGACTGCCAAAAGCTTTCATTTCTTCCAAACACCATCACCTCCATGTCACACTCACCTCAGACGCCCAACTCTCCGTTTCCACTGGAGCCACAGGCCTATCGTGTGATGTCCCCAAACGATCTTCTCAGTGCATGCATTTGTACAACTTTTCTCCATCTTGTTCTACTAATATTCATTTCCCAACTTATTCTTGCGTATTTACTTATTATTTACCACTGGGGATACTCGAGAAAAAAATACTCCACATACTTTGCCAGTTCTTATATAATTTAACCTAGGAATAACCTGTTTCACAGTATTATACTTACCACATATAATGGCGTACAAATTACTCAATTGGTTATTTGAAGCATCGTAATTTATCAGATATATCATCTTCAAGAATTACATGAAATCTATAATCATTGTTTGTTAAACCCTTCGCTACTTGATTGGTGTTTCTTATGAATGATAAACCTACATCTAAGCGTAGAGTCAGAGACGAATATACCAAATATATGATTCCTTTCTTTAAAAAATTATGTCATCAGAAACAAGAAGATGGAATTAAACTCATAGGCTTAAGAATTTCCGATAATCTCATCAATCGATAAGGTGAATCAATCATATCCAATACCTGATGAAAATGAAGATCAACTTTATACACCTTCGATAGTCCATATCAACAACGTATATTTCAACCACATGGTCTAAAATATTCACACATATCCACCGTGTAGTTAAACATTCGTCTTACAATCTTCTTAAGATTTTTAGTATCTTCTCTTCTCTCCTCCCCTTCTTCTCATCTCTGAATTATTAGAAATTTTATTATCATCATAGAAAATTAAACAAAGTTTATTAATATAATCTATCCACTAATCGAAAACAACGAGACTAAATCGTTTATCTGAACGAACAAGTATTTTAATATCCTTGTTATTGTTGTATAGTTCATACAGATGCACTTTGTTGTACTCTCTTCAGATATCATACCTTATTGTTGATATAGATTAGAAATGTGCAAACTTTCAGAGGATTTCAGGATTATATCATCAATCTGATTAATAATATTTTCAAATGGCAATTTTGCATCAAGTTTATTAGTTTTAGATGAATATCACGAAAAAACTTTACTTCTGTAGACAAAATCTGCATCTGAATGTTTCACTGAAGTGGTTAAACACGTATCTCTCAAGGTGATCTGGGACTTGGTCCATTTTGAAACTTTTCAGTAATTTGATTTTTACATCATATATCGACTAAATATTGACAGTGAACCAGATTCTGGAACACAGGCACATTGACCAATGCCCGATAACAGCTGTGTCTTTCGACATGAAGATGGCGGCATTCGACTCCGTTGATCGAGGAGTATTATGCCAATGTCTGCCAGTGAAAGGCGTACCCAGTAAGTATATCACCTTGTTGAAGGCTCTTTACTCGAACATTTGGAGGCGTGTTAGATGCTATGGTGGAATGTGCAGGGAACTGTGTTCTTCGAGTGGTGTCCGTCAAGGATGCCCACTGTCTCCATTCTTATTCAATTTTATCATAGATATTCTTATGGAGATCCCCCTCTCGTCGCCTGATTACACTGACGTTGACCTAGTCACAGGAGAATTTTCATTAGACTTAGAATATGCAGATGACATAGTCCTGTCAAGTGAAGATACTGACAAGATGCAGAGTCTTCTGAATACTTTCAGTGGCAATTTGGGAATGTTTGAGATACGTTTCTCACCACCCAAATGTTAATTCCTCCTCCAGGATCCATCTACTAAAAGAAACTATAAAAGATTCGACTGGCTTTCCTTGTGATATCGGATTGTCTATCAAGGGTCGCGTGTACTGCACAACACTGCACTATGTTCTACTCTATATCTGTGAAACATGATGATTGAAGGTGGAAGACATGAGAAGGTTTCAGATGTTGTTTGACCACCACCGTTACCTTCCTAGTATAGTAGTATAGGTCGTGTTCTGTCTGTGGTATCACGATATGAGTAACGCAGAAGTCAGGTCTACGTGTAAGTGTAGAGTTTTATGGAGTGAGAAGATGTAGGGGTAGAGGTAGAGGTAGAGGTAATTAGTAGTCAGTTGATGTGGTTGTGAGCCTTGATCGACTGAGATGCCTGGCTATCAGGGACATGTGTGTTACGTATGTCTAGTCGTCGTCTACCTCATCACACAATGTTGTCCGAAGTAGTTTGAGACTGGAGAAAGGCTCCAGACGATCAGACTGAAAAATGGCACCAATGTATGAGTTGTTTGACTGTTGGTTTGAGTCATGTAAGTGTGGGGTGATGCAGACTAGTTAGACCAGTTGGGGTTTGTGGGATAAGAGAAATCCGTGGTTGGAGAGTGACTGTAGGTGGTATGGTTGACAACCGATGTCAGTGGCACAGATGCTTCTCCACCCACATTATCCTCATCTTAACACTATACCGAATGTCATCATTTCCTTATTCTTCCTTTCTCTCTTTTACTACTCTACATTTCTTTTGACTGAATTGTGTTTCCTTCTTCATCTTCCACTTGACTGCCTTGTTTACTTGATGTGGTGATATGAGGTGTGGCAACTCGGAGGGGTTACGTAGTGATTGATTCCTGGTCCTATTTTGATTTCGATGGAGGTACGTATGGACGTGTTCATATCTCCTCTTAACCATCTCTGACGCACTGATTTCAATGAATCACATTCTTAACTTGTTAGTAAGCAAATAAGACACTCTGTTTGAGAAATTTTTTTTTCGAGTTCCGGAACGCATGGCATCAATTCGATTCAGAGCAAGTCTTTTCAACATTCGACATATTTGGATAAATGCGATTATGACAGAGAACTTTCCAGAAAAGCTTTCAGATATTCCTATCTCATAATTCAACTGTTCAGTACATCAATTCTAGTATTCGCTTATGCATGCTAGATAGCGTAATGAAGAAATTCACAGAATTCTTTTAGTATCAGAGGATCCTTGTAATTCTTTAATTGACTAAATATACCGATTTATTCATGTATTAGCGAAGAAAAATTATTCCTTTTCAACGACTTCATTAATATGCTCTACAGTCGTATGTATAATCTGTAAAATGACAGATAACTGAACTAAAAATGCTCTTACCGACCAAAGTTTTTTTGTGATATTCATCTAAAACTAATAAACTTGATGCAAAATTGCCATTTGAAAGTATTATTAATCAGATTGGTGACGTAATCCTGAAATCCTCTGAAAGCTTTGCACATTTCTAATCTATATCAACAATAAGGTATGATATCTGAAGAGAGTACAACACAGTGCATCTGTATGAACTATACAACAATAACAAGGATATTAAAATACTTGTTCGTTCAGATAAACAATTTAGTCTTGTTGTTTTCGATTGGTGGATAGATTATATTAATAAACTTTGTTTAATTTTCTATGATGATAATAAAATTTCTAACAATTCAGAGATGAGAAGAAGGGGAGGAGAGAAGAGAAGAGAAGAGAAGATACTAAAAATCTTAAGAAGATTGTAAGACGAATGTTTAACTACACGGTGGATATGTGTGAATATTTTAGACCATGTAGTTGAAATATACGTTGTTGATATGGACTATCGAAGGTGTATAAAGTTGATCTTCGTTTTCATCAGGTATTGGATATGATTAATTCACCTTATCGATTAATTGTTCAGATGATTCTTGGAAATTCTTGAACTTATGACATCAAACCGGTATAAGTATTATAATCGCTTCGATACATTTTGGTACTGTTCTCTAAATCGAAATCGACGGAACGCGCGAAAGTATATGATATCATTTGATGTTATAAAACAGAATATAATTTTAAAAATTATCTATTATACTGAACTTACATCCAAGTAGAACTTTTCTTGTTCAATTCTAGCATCACGAAATAAGGATCTAAGACTAAGATATAAACCAGCTTGGGTAGGATCATTTCCACTGAATGATGATACTGCCTGATTAATATGTGATATACTGGAAGTATCATGTGATTGTAAACCACTACTTTGATTAGAAGATATAACTGTTGTTGAACTTGGCAATAGACCAGGACTTGTACTTCGTCCTGTTGTAGTTATACCCTGTTGACTGGAATGTATACTAACAACGCTTGTTGTACCAGGTGATATAGATGATGCAGAAGAAGTTATAGAACTAGTTCCAATACTACCTATACTACTTCCTAAAGGATTAGAAGTAACCAAATTATTTGATACACTAGAGGAGACACCAGTGGTAACACCAACAAGTGATCGTCTTGAACGAGGCTTCTCAAAACAAAATAATCGTGAAACATCATAGTCTTTTTGATTGATCAATTCGAGTAATTTTTTTTCAACCTAAAACATAAAAAAATAAAGAAAGAAATAATAATATATTCATCATTAGACTATCTGAGATAATCATAGTTTCACAGACTAGTATTTATATTGGGTGATGATGGAAGGTGATATGAGAATTTGGACTGCAGCTGGATTCCAACCAGCGACCATCGGGTTACCAGTCTGAAGCTTTACCAACTGAGCTACGACGTCGAACTGATGACCAGGTTTTTATGTCACTTCAATCACAAGGTGGGGTTTCGCTCGACTGCTATGTGAATTTGTGTCACGTTACTACCATTTGATCGTATTCATACTGGTTGACTAATCAGGACTTCTCATCCCAATCGAAATCTAATTGAATCAGAAAGGCATCCATCCATCCAGATCAACCTAGGACCAGGCATTACTGCACAACGGTCCGAGTTGCCACAGCTCATATCACCACATCAAATAAACAAGGCAATGAGGCGCAAGATGAAGATAAGAAAATTTAGTCAAAACAAATATAAAGTACAAAAAGAGAGAAAAGAAGAATGAGAAAATGGTGAGATTCAGTATAGTGTCGTTAAGATGAGGACAATGTATGTATACATCTGCACCACTGACATCGATTCTGAGCCATATCACCTACAGTCAGTCTCCAACCACTGTTGGTTCGTCTTGTCCCGCCGACCCCAACCGACTAGTCTGCATCTCCCCACATGGCTCAAACCAACAGTCAGAGACTTCATGCATTGGTGTCATGTTTTAGTCTGGCCACCTCAGGCCTTTTTCCACCCTGGACTTACTTCAGCCAAGATTGTGACGAGGGGGGGGGAAACGTCGTATTGATTATCATTTGACTATCTGAGATAGCAATCGGGTCCCGTAGCTCAGTTTGTAGAGCATCGGGCCGGTAACCTAGTGGTCGCTGGTTTGAATCTCAACGCGGTCTAAATCCTCATTTCACCTCCAATCATCGTCCAATGTAAACACTAGTCTATCAAACTACGGCTATCTCAGATGGTCAAACGATAATCAATATGATGCTCTACCTCTCTGATTCAGTTAGATTTCGATTGGGATGAGAAGTCCTGATTAGTCAACCAGTATGAATATTATCAAGTGGTAGTAACGTGTCACGAATTCACATAGTAGTCGAGCGAAACCCCACCTTGTGATTGAAATGAAATAAAAATCTTGTCAGTAGTCGAACCTCGTGGCGAAGATAATCAGCATGAATATTGGTGTTAAGTGATCTATGTAGTTTAAAAAGTTTGCTTTAGTTGAGGTTAGTAAGTCATACAAAAAGAAAGAGAAAAGGAGAGAAGAAAGAACAGCACCTTGAGGTGAACCGGTATCACTGAATAACGAAGTAGAGCGCTTTCTTCCATATACAATGTACTGTCTTCTCTCAGAAAAATAAGCAATAAAAGAGATTGAGTGAGACAATCATAGGATTAGATCAATAAAAGTAGTCTTTATAACATTCATGGGGAAAGAAATAGAGCAGATCTAATTTATGTGACAACATATACAAAAAGGAAATATCCAATAATTCAGACAAGTTACTGGAAAGGAAAAAAAAAACCCGGTAACAACAATAACCAGACAGTCATTGAAAAATAGGATTACAAAACGTTATGCAAACCTATTGATTATCTGTAATCATTACTATACTTTTCAGTTAAAAGGCAATAGAATAATCACTTGTTCTGATATATTAGACAGTCTAAGCCAAAAAAAAACACACTACTATACATACAGATATAGTCTATAATAAGTGGAATTAAGTAACTCATTACCCATGGGTATAATAGACTACTCTATTATCAAACTTACTTATTCTGAGGAAAGTTACATCTGCACCATTGTGATCAACTATCGGCTATATGACTCAGACCTCAACCACTGGTTCCTATCATCTTACGGAGCCCTACGAAGTATTCTAAGCTTCTTCACGCGACCTAGACCAACAGTAGGTGACTTCATTGACTGGTGTGTCAAGTCTTCTTCTGGCCACCTTAAACCCTATTCCAACCTAATCCAATTTCACTTAGTATTGTAAGTCGAGGTAGGCGATAACTTGTCACGTGTAACTACATGTTCGGGGCATCCCAGTCGACGAAGGTTCACAACCTCACCAACCGATCTACCTGTCACAAGAAGTCCACTTCACCTGACTTCAAAAATGCTCACACAGTGATCCCACCAAGTGCCAACAATGGTGCAAAGACACTTCACGTCTCCTACTCTTAACAATTATATCTTACACCACCTAAACAGGGCAGAAAGAACTGCAGAGCCGTACACTCCCCCTTTGATAAACTGTCGGATGTGTCATGGTGCAGACTAGAAGCAATTAGTAGGCCCTGCCCACAATAATATATTATCTACTTAAAATGACAACCTCGCCTAGTTACCTAGTTACTAGCCAATTCTAAGCCCGAATAAAGAAAGAAGGTTGGACATAGGGCTAGCAACCCCTACACCCTAAAACAAATCCAACTGCTAAACAAACTTCAAAGTAGAAAGAAAATATTAAAAATAAAACTTATTCCTCGCCGAAATCGAAGAGACAAAATCACGTCAGTTAGTGAAACCACTCAAGAACCCAATTCACCGAGGTGTCATCTCTCACTCCATGAAAGCAAAAGTAAACATAGGGACATCGAATGTCCGCACAATGTTTCAAACTACCTGGCAAGGCTTCCCAGATTACAAAAGAGATCAGAAGGTATAGCATTGAAGTGATAGGAATTTGCGAAACCAGATGGAGTGGAAGTGGACTCTCAAAACTGTCAACTGCAAAGTCAATAATCTACTCCGGTCACCCAGACGACAACCACGAGCACACCGAACTTTCGAGTGGCTATCATGATCTCCTCAGCAGCATCGAAGGCTCTCATGCAGTGAGAAACAGTCTCCTCCAGGATCATGACAGCAAGATTCAACTCAAAATGAGGGAAAGTCACAATCATTCAATGCTACGCTACACCCCTACAAATAATGCAGGAGAAAGTGGAGATGGATTCGATTGGATAAACACTGAGAAGACCGTTTGGGGACATCACGCCTCAGGCCAGACCGTCGAGTGGAACCGAAATAGGAAACTACAAGTTGGGCGTCTGAGGCGAGGGTGATATGGAAGAGATCATGTGAGAAGGAAATGGAAGCCTGTGGTCAGTCGTGGAGCCAGGTGCGAAAGACTGCAGAGAAGAGAGTGAAATTGCAACGTGCTATTGAAGCTGTATGTTCCACTAGGAACCCAAGTGACAAATAATAAAAATACTTAAAATGATAGCCTATTCAAAATTGCTCTGATGAGAATAAAACTTGTACAAGTGAGATCATCACACAAAGCATAAAAAGAGTCTTGCATAAAGCATTCCCAACCGCTAAATTATCTCCCGCCTTCTACAACCGCCCGATTCTAGGTACAAGAATTAGAGACCAACTGCCTGATTCTGCCACTTCAATGTGCATTTATCAATTCAACTGCTCCTGTGGAGCTAGTTACATTGGGTGTACAATGAAACAGTTCCATCGTCGAATTTCTGAGCACCACCCATCATGGTTGAACAAGGGATAAATTAGAACTATGAAGAGCTCCATACTTGCACACTTAGTTGACACAGGACATCAAGTGGTTACTGGAAAAGCCTTCAAAATCATCCATCAGATTCCAATTAATTTACCTCATGGATTACGCACTCGGTTACTCCACATAGCAGAGGCGATTGCAATCCACCTTTGCAAACCTAGCCTTTGTATCCAAAAAAAGTTTGTCCAATCACTTTCATTACATGACTGTCAACATGATGTAACTTCTAGTTTTACTTTGTACACCTCTTCCCTCCCTTCTTGTTTCTATCAATATTCATATCTCTGATTTTGATAACTCTATTGATTATTTACATCATTATTTCCGAAACATCACCACGTGATTGATAATTTGATTAAACCGTAAAATAATATATTAGTGTAAAGCCCAAGATGAAGACTTAATTGAAAAAGAATACATTTCTTCGCTCAATCAGTCTTTTTCTAAATGTCTAAATGGGAATATTCAATGTACTAAAAAGTAAATGGTGACAAATCAGATCACATTGCTCATATGTGATGGTAATAATAATAATGATAAAATTTGGGGTTTATAGGGATTTATTGATTTTAAGTTGGCTTTTATTATGAACAGACATCAGTTAGAGAAACATTGGAACTTGGGAGCAGAAGGTAGCTACTTCCTCCTAATGTGGGACTTCTCAGCAGTGAGTATCTGACCCTGCTCCACGAACGATCGGACCAAAAACCTTCAGGTTCCATTGCCAGCAACGTTACCCCTGAATCAAAAGGTCGGCATCCGATGATTCATATTCCCCACGTTTGTGTTACTTCACGACATAGCATGACCATCACAAAATATCATTGTTGAGTATTTGTTTTCATTTCCATTAAGAACTTAAGAGTCCTGAGTTCGATCCCTGGAGGGGCAGAGTCATAGGTGAACACTGCTGAAGAGTCCCACACTAGGACGAAACAGCCTTCCATGAGTCGAAGTTCTTACACTTCATCAATAGAAATAGTACGGTGAATTCAACAAAATAATCGAAATAATCAAAATTAAAAGGAGCTAAAAGGAGAATAATAGAAAAAAGAAAGCTGAACAGAAAAGAAAAGAGTGTAGAACAAAGAGATTAGGAGCTGCTTAAAAGAAATGAAGCACAAGTGTATTAATCCTACTGAAACCAGTTTTGTTTCATAGCATTTAAGGCGGTTCCATTAATGAATACGATAGTCTTAAGAATCACAAGAATTAAGGTCTTTTCCATACGTCTCAAGAATTTATTAACTAGTTAACTATATCTGACCACCATAAGAACACCAGCGTCAAGTTAGTGCTTCTGTATGGTTCAGAGACTTGGCGCATCACGAAAAGCATTTCCAACAAACTACTGACATTCATCAACAACTGCCTACGCTGACTCGTTACTGAAGTTCAGATGGCCAGAAAGAATAAGCCTTAGAGAACTGTGACTGGGAACGAACCAACCAAGAACTTATCACTCAACAAATATGCACAAAAAAGTAGGGATAGATTAGGCAGACACTGAGAAGACCATTCGGGGACGCCACGCGTCAGGCCACTTGCTCGAATGGAAGCCAAGTAGGAAACGACGAGTCAGGCGTCCGAGGGTGACATAGAGGAGGAGATCGTGTGAGGAAGAAATGAAAGCTTGTAGGTTGTCGTGGAACCGGGTTCAAAAGTTTGCAGAGAACAGAGTTCACTGGAGACGTGCTACTAAAGCCCTATGTTCCATTGAAAGCCAAGGGAGAAATAATAATAATGACCATCATAAGAGTTTATTGCTTCTAACTGTTTTGCATCAGTTTATCAGTGTGCAGTGAAGTCAGTGAAAAAGAGATATGTATAACATAAGAAAAGGCCTCGTCGACAAAATGATTCTATAGCAATAAGAGCCAGATGCTAGGTGAAGGAGATTCCAATGTCTCTCAAATCACACCCAGCAGTCATTAATACTCACGATGAATAACTATCTGTTCGTCAGGTTCCCACAAAAACTGGCCAGCTAGGTACATTTATCCAAATCGAAATGGAGGTGAACTCATGGGACAAGCGATCGCATTGACAGCACCAAGATTTGCAAGCAGGCCGCGGTAGCATAAACCGAAAATTCAAACTGCACCAGGTCCTAGAACACAGGCACGCTTGATGACACTACATAAAAGCTGGAGATGGGATTCGACCCCGTTAATTGAGAAGTCTTATACCAATGTCTCGCAATGAAAGGCGTGCCGAGTGATTACACCGCCACATAGAAGGCTTCCTAATCGAACAATTGTGGGCGTGTGTCCCTCGAGTTATACCCGTCTACACTGACCACTTTCTCAATTCTTATTCAATTTTATCATACACATAATTAAGGAGGTTTCCCTCTGGTCACCTGATTACAAAAAGATTGACCTAATCGATAGGTAACCTTCCTTGGACATAGGATACGCAGATAACATAGCCCTGTTAAATGAAGACACTGACAAGATGTAAAGTCTTCTCAATACTTTCAGTGGCGATTTCAGAATGTTTCGAATACACTCCTCACCACACAAATGCAAATTGCTCCTCCACGATTCGTCTCGAACGCTACCCCGACCAACAATAGACAGTCAATGCAGTCGTCCAGTGTGTTGAACACTTCACATTTACCTACAAAGTGCGATCCACCCCGCTGTAGTGGCTCAGCGGTCGACGAAATCTCTGCACAAATAAAAAAAGGCTCACTTGACTTTTGCCAACTCATACCACTTGTAGTTCCACCGTGATATCTAATTGTATAATAAGAGTCGCGTGTACTGCGCAACATTGCACTCTGTTCTACTCTATGGCTGTGAAACATGACAATTGAAGGTGGAAGACATGAGAAGGTTTCAGGTGTTGTTTGACCACCACCGTTACCTTCCTAGTATAGTAGTATAGGTCGTGTTCTGTCTGTGGTATCACGATGTGAGTAACGCAGAAGTCAGGTCTATGTGTAGGTGTGGAGTTTTATGGAGTGAGAAGATGTAGGGGTAGAGGTAGAGGTAGAGGTAGAGGTGGAGGTAATTAGTAGTCAGTTGATGTGGTTGTGAGCCTTGATCGACTGAGATGCCTGGCTATCAGGGACATGTGTTACGTATGTCTAGTCGTCGTCTACCTCATCACATAATGTTGTCCGAAATAGTTTGAGACTGGAGAAAGGCTCCAGACGATCAGACTGCAAAATGGCACCAATGTATGAGTTGTTTGACTGTTGGTTTGAGTCATGTAAGTGTGGGGTGATGCAGACTAATCAGACCGGTTGGGGTTTGTGGGATAAGAGAAATCCGTGGTTGGAGAGTGACTGTAGGTGGTATGGCTGACAACCGATGTCAGTGGCACAGATGCTTCTCCACCCACATTATCCTCATCTTAACACTATACCGAATGTCATCATTTCCTTATTCTTCCTTTCTCTCTTTTACTACTCTACATTTCTTTTGACTGAATTGTGTTTCCTTCTTCATCTTCCACTTGACTGCCTTGTTTACTTGATGTGGTGATATGAGGTGTGGCAACTCGGAGGGGTTACGTAGTGATTGATTCCTGGTCCTATTTTGATTTCGATGGATGGATGAGCCACGATTTGTTGAAATGAAAGCCTGAAACGTATTAGCATCACGTCGTTTAATTATATGGTCAGATATACTTCATTACTTTATAATAACACCGCTGAGTTCTTCATAGATATCCAGATAGTGAGGAAACCAATATAATTTATAGGCACTTACAAATGCCAAACAAATCATTGAACAATGAGCTTAAATATGAAAACATTTAACAACTAACATTTATGTTATGTAATCAACTTTGGGTAACCTAGGCAACAGAGAATCACCATATTTGCATAGAAAAATTAAAAATACAAACATTACTACAAAAACTTATGTTGGTTGTAAAAACAAGAAAGAAGAAATCTAACATGAAAACATCGACCAATTACTGAATCCTTGACTAAGTCTCCTACAAAATAGATAAAAGTAACTACAGGAAATAATATATGTAAATTATGCAAAAGAATGATGAAGTTAATCTCCACGGTGTGATGACAATAGTTCTTATTTATTATTTATCTCTTGGCTTCCTAATGGAACATAGGGCTTCAGTTGCACGTCTCCATTACACTCTCTTATCTCCAATCTTTTCAACCTGGCACCACGACTGCTCACAAGCTCTGATTTGTTCCTCACACCATCTCCTTTTTCCATATCACCCTCACCTCGGACGCCCAACTCGTCGCTTCCCATCTGGCTTCCACTCGACCAACTGGCCTCACCCCTCATGTCCCCAATCGGTCTTCTCACTGCATCCCCAATACAATCCATCTCCACTTCCTTCTACTGCATACTTGTTCAGCAATAGCTTCTTGCTTCGTTGGTTCGTTCCCAGTCACAGTTCCCTATGGCTTATTCTTTCTGGACATCTTAGCTTCAGTAACGAGTCAGCATAGGCAGTTGTTGATGAATATCTGTAGTTTGTTGGAAATGCCTTTCGTAACGCACCGAGTCTCTCAACCATCGTATAGACTCACTGACTTGACTGTATTGGTGTTGAAAATCCGGATATTGTTCCACATGTTGAGTGCAGAAGATCTCCACACGGGTTTCAGGCTAATGAACGCCTATCTTGCTTTTCGAATCCTGGCTGCTTTGACAATCTTGTCTGTGCCTGTGCCATCTGTAGTTGAGACAGAGCTGCCTAGATAGGTGAGATGACTCTAGTTAATACAATTAAATCAATGTAGAACAATTACAATGGCAATAGAATATTATTAGGTAAGTTCACTTCTTCAATTCTTAGATTTATAAGATAAGAGTAATGAAATCATGAATTCACATAGACAGACAAAATCGATGTACAACCCGGTAAACAACTGCATCAGCTTATGGGTTTGCCACACTTTACAAATAGGAAAAACAAAGATTCATATCAAAGCAAAGAAAGAGTGTGTAAGAAAAGAAATAACTTTGAGATAAATATTCGAGTTTTAGAAGATGTTGAAGACTGAATACATTCACGTCACTGTAACTGATTTCCCACCATATAATCTAAAGTCAGTCCTCAACCACTGATATCCTTCATCTCAGGGACCGTAGTAAGACAATCTACATCTCTCCATATGGCTCACATCAAACAGATAGTAAGTTTGTTGACTGGTTGCACGTTTTAGTCTCGCTACACTTAACCCTATTCCAAGTACCCCTACCCCACCACCAGCATAGCAAATCGAAGTATGTGATGACTTGACATGTACATCTCATCAATCAACTTGCCTATCTTGACTTATCCCCTGCGACTCTAAGTCGTATACCATGACAGAATGGAATGAAGTGCAGTATTCTCGCCCTCTGATTGATGGTCGTATATCTCGCTAGTTGGCGCCAAAGATAACGCAAGTTAGTGAATGCCAGACATGTCCTCTGTATCCCTGATGAGATGCCTTCAGCAAGCAGTCGCCTCGGTGGGCTGCCATAACTTTCAAAGTATGTGAGGAGTGCAACACATTCCACTACATCAATCCTTATCATTAAACTTGGAGTAGTTGAAGACCAAGTGGGAGACAGATAAATTTGAAGAGAGTGAGAACAACAATGCGACTAGGATAAAAGGGATACATTTTATTTTGGTGGGATCTTCCTAACCATCTGCAACCTGAATTCATCTAACCAATAACTTCGACAAAAAAACGCATAAATAAACAAAAAAACATACCTCTTCTAGTGTTTTCCAAGTTTCATCTGTTGATACCCGAAGTGTTTCTATGCTGGTCCTTAATTGATTAGCTGTATTCTGCAGTTCATCGTACAATGGGCCGTCTGCACGAATTTTATCCTCCTATTAAAGTAAGATAAATTTTGTAAAATAAATGAAAAATTGCATCTAGAACATAATAATTAAAAACACCTATCAACAGTCCTAAACAAATAAGTTAACTTTGTTAGATTGCATGATAAATCTAATACGTATCAATCCATCCATCGAAATCAAAATAGGACCAGGAATCAATCACTACGTAACCCCTCCGAGTTGCCACACCTCATATCACCACATCAAGTAAACAAGGCAGTCAAGTGGAAGATGAAGAAGGAAACACAATTCAGTCAAAAGAAATGTAGAGTAGTAAAAGAGAGAAAGGAAGAATAAGGAAATGATGACATTCGGTATAGTGTTAAGATGAGGATAATGTGGGTGGAGAAGCATCTGTGCCACTGACATCGGTTGTCAGCCATACCACCTACAGTCACTCTCCAACCACGGATTTCTCTTATCCCACAAACCCCAACCGGTCTGATTAGTCTGCATCACCCCACACTTACATGACTCAAACCAACAGTCAAACAACTCATACATTGGTGCCATTTTGCAGTCTGATCGTCTGGAGCCTTTCTCCAGTCTCAAACTACTTCGGACAACATTATGTGATGAGGTAGACGACGACTAGACATACGTAACACATGTCCCTGATAGCCAGGCATCTCAGTCGATCAAGGCTCACAACCACATCAACTGACTACCAATTACCTCCACCTCTACCTCTACCTCTACCTCTACCCCTACATCTTCTCACTCCATAAAACTCCACACCTACACATAGACCTGACTTCTGCGTTACTCACATCGTGATACCACAGACAGAACACGACCTATACTACTATACTAGGAAGGTAACGGTGGTGGTCAAACAACACCTGAAACCTTCTCATGTCTTCCACCTTCAATTGTCATGTTTCACAGCCATAGAGTAGAACAGAGTGCAATGTTGCGCAGTATACGCGACTCTTAATATACAATTGGATATCATGGTGGAACTACAAGTGGTATGAGTTGGCAGAAGTCAAGTGAGCCTTTTTTATTTGTGCAGAGATTTCGTCGACCGCTGAGCCACTACAGCGGGGTGGATCGCACTTTGTAGGTAAATGTGAAGTGTTCAACACACTGGACGACTGCATTGACTGTCTATTGTTGGTCGGGGTAGCGTTCGAGACGAATCGTGGAGGAGCAATTTGCATTTGTGTGGTGAGGAGTGTATTCGAAACATTCTGAAATCGCCACTGAAAGTATTGAGAAGACTTTACATCTTGTCAGTGTCTTCATTTAACAGGGCTATGTTATCTGCGTATTCGAAGTCTAATGAAAATCTTATCTATATCAAGTCAAACAATCGGATTATTGAGTATAGTGGCTAGAGGTTCTTAGAATGAAATCTACTGTATGTCAGTCTGCGATCATGTTGAAATAGATGTTTGCAGAACAAATCAAATAAACAGGCTGAGCTAATTCCATACACCTTGAATTACGTATAATCAGCAATGACATATAAACATGCTCTATTGTAAAGCCACTACTTTAGTGAATACGACCTATGTCAGCTGAACATGAGCAAAAGAAATAAGTAATATAATGTATTTTGAGGTTGTCCGAGATTTCTCTTCCAGAGCAGAATTCACCGCCAACTGACATCTGTTTGAGTATCATGGAAAATTTAAGAGCAGTCCTCAGCAATAAGGATTCATAACCCTACTAGAAATCAGACTCATGACAACATTTATGTTGCATGGTATTCAGTCAATCAGTAGGAGTTCAGTGGTCTACAGTTTCTCACTTCTGTCAATTTTGGATAGATCACTACTATCTGTCAAGCTGTTCAATTAGTCGCCGAATCATTTCCAACTAGTGTGGACACAATTCAGTGAGAGGATGTTGAAAACTAAGACCATGAAAGAAGAAGGAGTTGAACAATTTTCTTCTGTGTACACAGTTCAAGTTTCTTTATATGGATGACAAGAGCTTCAGCGATTCAGAGAATACGATGACATACAGTCTTTAGAAAGTTTCTTTTCACTTTATAGATGACTTAAAACCAGCAGGTTTTTAAGATAAGGGTGATTTAAATTCTCAATTTGTTCAATTATATCACTCCTATTTTCTGTATTGTTATCTGTTTGTAACCATATGGAAAATGAAATCGCTGAAAAGAGACTCTTCGTTGAAGTATACTTGCTCTTCATTCATATTATTATTAAAGCAATGGACGCATAAACAATATCCAACTTTCGTCATAGAAAATAACTATCAGAAAATATAATTTGGACTTTATTATTTGATAGTTATTTCATACAAAAACACTAAGAAAGCAGAACTTATTCGTGAACAATCCAGTTTACTTCACTATATTGTTTACATGTCAGTTCACTCAGATAATTTCACGGACATATTCATTTATCTAGGCATAAATCCCATCAACAATAGATACTGATAAACCATTTATCCGGACGTCGTTAGGCTTCTACTCACTCGATTTAGACGTCAGTCTCTTTCTTTTTTTTTTTGTTGCAAAACTGCAACCCTCTAAGACGAATACGATTAACGATAGAACAATAACTTCTCAACTCGATATTTAGCTGACATCAGAAGAAGACGATGAAACTGACAAATTTATTCACTCCAACCGAATTCTAATAAATGAAAACTCAATCGTTTATATATCTTTAGATGACCTTGGCCAGAGAAAAGAAAATAGCATATTTAAAGTGTAAAATGAACCAATCAGCGTTTAGCAGCAAAAAACGGCGCGAAAATAAGGCTTAAATTTTACAATGATAATATAAAAATATTATCAGTTAGTTATCTTAGGGATTAGACAACCCTAACAATAACCTATCAGGTCAACCAATGAAAAGTTAAAACTCAAAACTTTGGCAGATAATCACTCTATATCTCTCTTGCATACTAATGAAAAGACCCATACTGGAGTGAAGGAGCTATTCAGTGCTTCCATTTTTTTAATGGCTCTTAAATAGATGCCAATGCGTAATGACTAATATCACAAAGAAAAAAAATGAAACTGTAGTGCATCTTCCTGGCTTCAAAATACAACTAGGACTTAAACTGACTAAACTTCTAGCTCGTCTCCGTATGGCTTAAGGTGTTTCTAGTTTTTAAACAGCGTAATGAGAAGATGAAGATTATCTGAAACAAGTAGTGATGTATTAACGATATACATTTCGAACAATCTGATCATACACATGGAATTATCGAACTACTTATGTGAAAATTTATGAACAGGGTCAATGAAGTTAATACGAAGGGAGAGAAAGAGCGAAAAAAACATTACTCTTGGTATGAAAATTAAAATCAAATGGTTTTTGTATACATAGTTTTGTTTTAATGAGTATATATCTGAGCAGGTTTCGGCGTCATTTCGTGCTCCCTTTGTGCTGATTAGCATGCACCTACCTACTCTTAGAGTCATACTAGCCAGATAAGTTGAATAAACTTCCCCCCCCCATTCATTACTTATTATTACATTTATTCTAAATAAATATATGACTTCTTCGAATATATTCCTGAAGCGAGTTCTTTTGATTTGCGTTTCGTTATCAGTACTTACACTTTAAGTAAGGTAGTGGTTAAGTAGGTAACTAGAGTACATCAAGTTAAGTAGGGTTGGTCAAACGTTATGGAATAGTAACATCCCCCCCCCTCAAAGGCGAAACTGTGAACAATGTAAAAAATATTGACAAAGAATAGACTAATAACACAATTGAAATATATAAACATATTCACATGACTGTAATAATTTACTGTCACTCAACGTAAAGGTCGCATTTAACTTGACAAACCATGATAATTGAATAATGAAAGAACAGTATACTGTTCATAATAGCTCAATAATACAAAGGTTGAAAATACTGTAAAGTTCATTACTGACATTAGTGTATATATATATATATATATATATATATATATATATATATATATATATAAGAATACCCGATAACTTTTAGTCAATAAGTGCTTGCCTGTTGATTAAACGGAATGATAGAAATAAATTGGAAATATCATATACAGTAGATCAACTATTATCAAAAATCCAATAGACGATAAGAATTTCTCCAGATAGACAAATATACTGTGTAATTTTAACGTAGAGTTCATCATAGAATGATATTAGTTGGAGACTCATTGAATAGTCCTAACATAAGACTTCATAACAGAAGGTATCTATGACTCATCTAGGAATCAAATTTACAACCTTCAGACTTCACAACGAACATGTCAACCACTTAACCATCAAATCGGACTTCAATTCGCGATATAGTGCGTAATGCTGAGGAATCTCAGGCTAAGACGAAACAGCTATTCAATGCTTTCAGATCTTCACATTTATTTTGTCCAATGATTCAATAAAAAAGAGTACACCAGCACTTTTCACAAGTAGTAAGGTTTCTAAGTAAAATTAACTAGCTTACCTTATTAGCCTAAATTAAACAAGCTTAGTATTCTCGATAAAAGTTATATGAAACTTTCACTTTCAATTAGCGCTTGAGTACAAGTCTACTGACATATTATAACATGAAATAAAACAGTTCTCAAATGATTTAGTCATACAGAAAGTCAATGGTGACCTAAACAGCTTGGTGGTAAAATATTTAACTAACAACTAACTAACAATAGGTCATGTTCCAATCTCACAGATGACATCTCATTTCTCTAGAGTATGCAAATATACTGACAATAATGAAACTTTGACCAAGTAGGATTTTTTGTGCTAACATCAAGACAAAATTAATTCTGACAAAATCTACTACCATGATAGAGATATGTTCGCTATGAAACTATCTAATTCAACAGGAAAAAAAGCGAACCATTGACAATGATAAAGTTCATTGGTATACTAACTAATCAGGTAAATGGATAAGATTTATTACAACCTCACCTGGTTAACTACTTAACTAGTTATCAGCCATTTCTAAGCCCGAATAAAGAAAGAAGGTTGGACATAGGGCTAGCAACCCCTACACCCTAAAACAAATCCAACTGCTAAACAAACTTCAAAGTAGAAAGAAAATATTAAAAATAAAACTTATTCCTCGCCGAAATCGAAGAGACAAAATCACGTCAGTTAGTGAAACCACTCAAGAACCCAATTCATCGAGGTGTCATCTCTCAATCGATGAAAGCAAAAGTAAACATAGGGACATCGAATGTCCGCACAATGTTTCAAACTACCTGGCAAGGCTTCCCAGATTACAAAAGAGATCAGAAGGTATAGCATTGAAGTACTAGGAATTTGCGTAAGCAGATGGAATGGAAGTGGACTCTCAAAACTGTCAACTGCAAAGTCAATAATCTACTCCGGTCACCCAGACGACAACCACGAGCACACCGAACTTTCGAGTAGCTATCATGATCTCCTCAACAGCATCGAAGGCTCTCATGCAGTGAGAAACAGTCTCCTCCAGGATCATGACAGCAAGATTCAACTCAAAATGAAGGAAAGTCACAATCATTCAATGCTACGCGCCAACAATTAATGCAGACCAAGAAAAGAAAGAGGAATTCTATAGACAACAGCAATCAGTATTAGACTAGACTCCAGTTGGCGACATCAAAATTCCAATAGGTGACATGAATGCCAAACTAACAAGTTGACAGAAGAGGCAGGGCAGCGAAGATGGGACTTCTAGTGAACGTAGAAAAGACGAAGATGATGAAGATACCTAAACAATATCAACAGCAACAAGCACCAATCACCATCAACTGGAGAAACCTAAAAGAAGTTGTCTCTTTCACTTACCCGGCTGGGCAGCATCGTCTCAACTACAGGCAACACAGGCACAGACAGGGACGTGAAAGCCAGCCAGGATCGGAAAGACAGCAAGACAGGCTTTCATTAGCCTCAAACAAGTGTGGAGATCTTCTGCACTCAGCACAAAGTGTGAACAACATCCGAATGTTCAACACCAATACAGTCAAGTCAGTGCTTCTATGTGATGGTTGAGAAACTTGGCGAGTCATGAAAAGCATTTCCAACAAACTACAGATATTCATCAACAACTGTCTACGCTGACTCGTTACTGAAACTCAGATGTCCAGAAAGAGTAAACCACGGGGAACTGTGACTGGGAACGAACCAACGAAGCAAGAAGCTATGCCTGAACAAGTATGCAGTAGAAGGAAGTGGAGATGGATTGTATTGGGCATGCAGTGAGAAGACCGATTGAGGACATCACGCACCAGGTCAGTTCTTCGAGTGGAAGCCAGATGGGAAACTGGGAGTTGGGCGTCTGAGGTGAGGGTGATATGGAGGAGGAGATTGTGTGAGGAGGAAATGAAAGCTTGTGGGTAGTCATGTCGACAGGTTGAAAAGACTGCAGATAAGAGAGTGTAATGGAGACGTGCTACTGAAGCCGTATGTTCCATTAGGAACCCAAGGGAAAAATAATAAATAATAAGAATTATTCATTCAACAGAAGATTATTCAAAGAATGTATTCAATGCAAATTTATAATGAGAAAAAAAAAATTATTAGAAAAGACTAAAAACTACTTTACTTACATTGTCTTCTTTTGATGGCATAAATGTGAAATGACCTGGACGTGTATAAACTTGTTCATTTCGTTTAAAAAACATGCTTTATCCTGTCTTATATCAATTGCTGTAATATTTCTGTTCAACATTTCAACAATTGAACCATGACATGATTTTAAAGTTTCTTCACAACTTAAATGCATCATTGCTGAACGTGCTAAACTATTATGAAAGCCACAAACAAGACACTAAAAGAAAAGAGGAAGATGATGATGATGATGAGAAACAAAAACTAAACGTATATAAACAAAATGTGTAGAGATACATTTTACAGATATATATATATATATATATATATATATATATATATATATATATATATATATATAACGCAGTTTAAAGATGTATGCAAATTATATTATAGCTTATAATATTGCATCTCTATTGTCATATGGGATCCTGTGTGGATGCCTCAATACTGTCTATTGTTTCAATTCTACATTATTAATGAACAATGGGACTCAAAACGTGCGTTCCGTTCTATTTTGAACTCGTCACATGGACCTATCTGCCTACCAGTGACCGATATTGTTCCCATTAAGAGCCGAACTAGGGGAAAAATTACCTTTAGGTCATCGTGTCATGATAAACACTTCTTGGATATGGTTTTTATGTTGTTCCTTTTATTATCAGGCCGTCGTTTGTTCTAGGGTTCAGATCTTAATGAGAACAACATCTCTCACTGGGGAGTCAGATACATCCAACTGATGAGTCCTAAATAGGATTAAACGCCCCTCCTGGATTCTACTGATAGCCATAAACCATCATGAATACATATGTAAATTAAGAGAAAGTATGCAGAGGAGAAAACCCTCTTCATGAAAATTTCTTTTTCACACCTATTATTATTATTATTATTTGTCCCCTGGGTTCATAGTCGAACACGTCGCAACTTCACTCTGTTTTCTGCAGTCTTTTGAACTTCGCTCCACAACTGCTAATATGCTTTCATTTCTTCCTCACACTATCGCCTCCTTCATGTCACCCTCGCCTCGGACGCCCAACTCGTCGTTTCCCATTCGTGTTCCACTCGACGGCCAGCCTGACAAGTGATGTCCCCAAACCATCTTCTCAGTGTATATCTAATCCAATTAAATCTACCTCCACTTTCTTCAGCATATTTGTTGTGTGACAGGTTAATGGTTCGTTGCCATGTCAGCCAGATTTCCTTGTTCCTTATTCTTATTATTCTGGCCATCTGATCTGATCTTGAGTATGAAGTGAGCGTAGGCAGCAGGTGTTGATGATGTATGTCTGTAGTTTTTTGAAAATGCTTATCGTAACGAGCGAAATCTGACTTGACTAACATTGGTATTGAGTAATCCGGATCTTGTTCTTTATCCTTAGAGCAGTGCAGTACAGTAGATCTCCATTCTGATTTCAGGTTGACAACGGCCTATCTTGTTGTCTTTCCGATCCTAGCTTTGACGTCCTCAGTAGTTGAGAAAATGCTGCCTAGGTAGGTAGGTGGTGCTTCTAGTTGTTGTTGTTGCCGTTGGTTGAATATTTCCACCAACTCAGTCTTCTCTATGTTCACCCAAAATCCTCTCTTTACTGCCTCTTCTGTCAACTTCCTGGTTTTTGCATAGACATAATACTTTCTTCAATACAGGAAACAGTAAATATATAGGGTGGTAATAATAGACAATATATTTGAAGTGAAACCAACATGAATTAATGCTATCCATACACATACACACACACACATCAGGTTATTTTCCAATATACATCAACCATGAACAAAGAGGAACAGGCAGGCTTCACGAAGTAAAAATCATGTGCGGACCAAATTGCAACGCCACGCTTCGCATCATCATAGAACAGAGTATAGTATGACAGTCAACTCTACACCTCAACTTCATCAACTTTGAAAAGGCCTTCAACAGACTCCACCGACAAGTAATTTGTCAACTGCTCAAACACTACGGAATACCACAAACCTTTATCAATCTCATTCAACAACAACTTTATGAAGACGCCACACGCCAAGTGATCCACAATGGAAAGCTCAGTGATACCCTTGAAGTGAAAACAAGAGTTAAACAAGGCTGACGCCTACTATCACACATCTTATTCCTGATTATAGTCGACTCGAGTGGATCATTCAACAAACAGTGAGGAGCGAGAAGAACCTAGAAGATTTGTATTTCGCCAACGATGATGATTTATGTCTAATGTCACACAAACTGGGAGATCTACAGGCGAAAACTAACAAGTTGACAGAAGAGGCAGTGCAGTGCAGTTCAGGCAGGGCAGAACAGGGCAGCGAAGATGGGACTTCTAGTGAACGTAGAGAAGACACAGGTGATGAAGATACCCAACCAACAACACCACCAACAACGACAAGCTCCAATCACCATCAACTGGAGGAACTAAAAGTAAGTAACCTCTTTCACCTACAAAGGAGGCATCACTCTTTCAACTACAGGTGGCACATGCACACATGACGATGTCAAAGCCAGCCAGGATCGGAAAGACAACAAGACAGACTTTCATTAGCCTCAAACAAGTGTGGAGATCTTCTGCACTCAGCACAGAGTGTGAACAACACCCCGATTTTCAACACCAATACAGTCAAGTCAGTGCTTCTATGTGATGGTTGAGAAACTTGGCGAGTCATGAAAAGCATTTCCAACAAACTACAGATATTCATCAACAACTGTCTACGCTGACTCGTTACTGAAACTCAGATGTCCAGAAAGAGTAAGCCATGGGGAACTGTGACTGGGAACGAACCAACGAAGCAAGAAGCTATCGCTGAACACATATGCAGAAGGAAGTCCAGATGGAATAGGCAGACAATGAGAATACCATTCGGGGACGTCACGCATCAGGCCAGTTGCTCGAGTGGAAGCCAGATGGGAAACGACGAGTTGGGTGTCCGAGGCGAGGCTTCGGTGACATGGAGGAGGTCATGAGAGGAGGAAATGAGAGCTTCTAGGCTGTCGTGGAACCAGGTTCAAAAGATTTCAGAGAGCAGAGCGCATTGGAGACGTGCTACTAAAGGCGTATGTTCCATTAGGAACCCAAGGGACAAATAATAATAATAACAATAATAATAATTATAGTAATTAAGAAAGACCTTTACATGCGTACCACTTTTTTTTTATCAGTGTTCAATTTCTTTGACGATTATTTTAGACAGTGAGAACTGAGAGAACAAACCAACTTAGAAATGACTAAAAACATGTACGGTGTAATCGATAACATACTAATCCATTGCCTATACCATAGATTGTATACTCTTTGCAATGCGTCTTTAGCCTAAGTAGGTTCCAATCTAGAAAAAGGTGACTAGACAAAATATGACATCAATACACGAAATCTTTGACTACTGGTTGAAGAGATGCAGGCTAGCCGGCTGAGGTCCATATGACAATAGAAATCAAAGATTGGAGACTCCAGGTGATATGGTTGAGAATCGATGTCAGTGGTGCAGATGGATACACACTTTATGCACAGCAGTTCGATCTATTCTACTGTATGGCTGTGAAACGTGACAACTGAAGGTGGAAGAAATGAGAAGGCTAGCTTCAAGTGTTTGACCACTGCTGCCTTCGTAGTATAGTATAAGCCGTATTGCATGATGTCACCACGTGAGTAATGCACAAGTCAGGTAAAGAGTTTTAGGGAGTAGAGGCAAATCAGTTGACGAGGTTGTGAACCTTCATTGACTGAGATGGCTGATTGGGACACGTACTATGTATGCCCAGTCACAGATTGCCTCGTCACACAATGTTGATCGAAGTAGGTGCAAGCAGGAAAAAGGCCCGAGGTGGTCAGACTAAAACATGACACCAATGCATGAATTATCTGACTGTTGATTTGAGCCACGTAAGGCGATGCAGAGTAACCAGCCGGTTGGGGTCCGCGGGACAAGAGAAACCATTTTTTCATTCTTCCTTTCTTTCTTCTCGTACTATATCTTTCTTTTGATTGAATCTTATCTTATCTTCATCTTTCACCTCACTACCTTTCTACTTGATGTACTGACGTGAGCTGTGGCAACACGGACCGTTACGCAGTAATGCCTGGTCCTAATGTTGACATCAATGATGATGATATACACTTTATCTTCCTTTGAACCACTATACCACTTAATCTCATCACTTCCTCATTCCTTTTACTATTTTCTACTTCTTTCTTCCTTCACATCTTTCATCTTAGTGATTTGTTACTTGATGTGCTGATATATATGCGGTTGAATTTTATTTACGTTAATCTTAGACACCATGTTAAATCATAACGCTTATATACATAGAAGAAATTTGTCAACTTTGCTCAATAGTTACCAAACGAGTGACTCTAAGTTAATTGAGTAAATCATATACTTGAAGAATAATGTGCTGACAAACTTACATCATCTAACCACTGTACTCAAGTGGAATGACGGATAAAATCAGTAACTTATTCATTTTGGCGTACGCTTTAAATAGCAGCCAAAATCTGCTATCCAAAAATAACGTAACGCGCATAATCAAGTGAATTAAAATTGGTATAACTTCATTAACTATGCATGAATTTATGATGATTATTTCATTATTATCTTGTTTCTTAATCAATAAAGTTGAGTAGTATAGTAGCATAGAAAAGAAATTCATAGCAATAAGAAGATACAATTTATTATCCTATAAGTGAATTTTAAAAATACTCCCCTCCTTTACAGTCAAATATTAGGTAGTGATAACAAACATTATATCACAAACTATTTCATCAAAGAATGATACAAGTTGGAGTGTATTGGACAGCTGTCTCACTATATCATAAATCGAGTGACTTAGGAAACTGTAGATTATGCTTAGATGTTCAGTTTGTCGGCGTTTACCCTGACCCTAACAAACATTATTATTATTATTTGTCCCTTGGGTTCCTAATGGAACATAGGGCTTCAGTGGCATGTCTCCATTCCACTCTCCTCTCTACAATCTCTCCAACCTGGCTCCATCACAACCCAAAACCTCTCATTTCCTCCTCGCACCATCTCCTCCCCCATATCACCATAGCCTCGCCTCCGACACCCAACTCGTCGTTTCCCATCTGGCTTCCACTCGAGCAACTGGCCTCAACCCTGATGTCCCCAATCGGTCTTCTCACTGCATCCCCAATACAATACATCTACACTTCCTTCTACTACATACTTGTTCAGCGATAGCTTCTTGCTTCATTGGTTCGTTCACAGTCACAGTTTCCCCGTGGCTCATTCTTTCTGGTCATTTGAGTTTCAGTAACGAACCGGCGTAGACAGTTGTTGATGAATATCTGTAGTTTGTTGGAAATGCTTTTCATGACTCGCCAAGTTTCTCAACCATCACATAGAAGCACTGACTTGACTGTATTGGTGTTGAAAATCGGGATGTTGTTCACACTTTGTGCTGAGTGCAGAAGATCTCCACACTGGTTTTAGGTTAATGAAAGCCTGTCTTGCTGTCTTTCCGATCCTGGCTGGCTTTGATGTCCTTGTGTGTGCCTATGTTGCCTGTAGTTGAAACGATGCTGCCTAGATAGATGAAAGAGGCTATATCGCATATTATTTCATCATAGAATGATATCAGGTGAAGTGTATTGGTCAGTTGTCTCACTATATCAAAAATCGAGTGACTTAGGAAACTGTAGATTATGCTTAGATGTTCAACGTATATTTGCAATGAGACCTGAAGGCAGTCAGTTCAATCCCTGGTCGAATTATCGATGTTTACTCCTGGAAGATTTTAATATTAGAGTGAAATAGGTGTCTAATGTTCCAAGGATTAAACACTTTTAAACATAAACAATACATAACATAAATATACACAATATAAATATTACATCGACTATATCCGGTGCTTCTTGTGTAAAGTAACGTTGAACACTGTGATTTGTAGCACATAGTTGAATTAAATATTCATTTCGTGCACGAGTTGTTGCAATAGTTGCATTGATAAAATTTGCTTGTTTCTATCATTAACAATAATAAGTAGAGAAAAAGGAAAGAGAAGGGTTTTTTATGCGTATAACGAAGACAAAAACGAAGAGTGATGAATTATGATAGAGAAAAGAAAAAACCAACTTTTTAATTACTCATCTATTTCAAATTAAATTTTGTTCATAGTGGGTGATGATTGAAGATGAGATGAAAATCTGAACCACGGCCGGATTCGAACCAACGGCCATCGGGTTACTGGCTCGATGCTCTATCAAGTGAAGTACGAGGTCCAACTGCTTATTTCAATCACAAGGTGGGGTTTCACTTGATTACCATATGAATTCGTGACACGTTACTATCACTTGATCGTATTCAAACTGGCTACCGAGTCAGGACTTCTCATTCTAATCCAAATCTAACACAATCAGAGAGGTGGAGAATCATATTGACGATCATTTTGACTATCAGAGATAGCAATCGGGTCTCGTAGCTCAGTTGGTAGAGCGCCGGGCTTGTAACCCAGTGGTCGCTGGTTCGAATCCCACCGCGGTCTAAATCCTCATTTCACCTTCAATCATTACCTAGCATAAATACTAGTCTACAAAACTACGACTATCTCAGATAGTTGGAATTGGACAATGTCCAGCTTTGTTATATCCAGAAGGATAACAGTTCTATTCTAAAAACACCTTATCAACTCAAAACATTCCGCCCCTTCCAGAGTGATTTGAAGAGTGCCATCCTTCTTCACAATTTCAAGTGAATTCGACTACTTCACCTATACATGGTTGAACAATTGACAGTTCACAGCCTTAGACATGGTCTTCATGCCCAAAAACATTACGTGTACTCAACTCATTAGCCTTAACATGATCATAGTGATGATTCCCTTATGTTTTTCGAAACAACCTTTTTTTAATTCCGCTCCTGAATATTCTGGTATTCACATACAAATGTACAGTTTTACAGTAAATGAAATCGCTGAAAAGGGAAGTTTCATTCGCTGTCACATCTTCGCTTTATTCTTAAGATGAAAACTTACCATGCAAGTGCTATTTTTTCTTAGAAGATTGCAGTTAAGTTCAGTGAATAAATTATGATTCTCTTGATCTGTGCGGTATATTTGTACTTCAAACTAGATTACTCTATAGTCTTGATTAGTGACATGCTTTGAGATGTATACCTAGGAGCTGTGACTTGCCTAGTCACCTAGTCAGAAGTGAAAACGAATACCAACTGAAGACGTGGATGCATAGTGGCTGAATAGTTAACGCGTTCGCTGTAGAACTGGAAGGTCCTGAGGTCGACTCTACACTAGGGTAGTGAATGCGTACCACTGACAAGTCCTGCATCAGGACGAAACAGCTTTCCAATACTCTCACGTTGATTGAATACATACTTTTATCATTCATAAACACTTACTCATATGAAAGTCTAGGTTGAGTAATATTTCATTTCCACATCATGTATACATGAGACAAAAGTTATTTCCATAATATTTGCTGGAATTTACAGGAATCGAAATCGGAGTGTGTAAGTGACTTCTTTTTATTGAGAAAAACGGATATACTTCAACTCTGTTAAGTTCCAACTACACTGTCAGTATGATAATCTCTACTGTGCAACAGATAACTTACAAGCAAACTCAGCGGAATTATTGTGCAACAACCCATAACCTAAGTAGGTAGGACACAGTTCGAATATGTGACCCACCGGTTAAAAGACAATTATCAAGGTCAACAGAGTCATAGTTCCAATAATAACTACCTTTATCATTATTAAAACGTATTCGGTTCGAAGATTCTCTGAACATAAGAATAAAGCCAAACTTTCTTTGGACATTAAGATTAGGATTTAGGTGCGAGCTGTTCCCACCTCTGAAGGCAGAAGAAATAAAGAGGCTTTTGATCACCTGCAACTGCATCTCGTTGTTCACCTGTGATAAAATCACAGAATCAGGTTAACCGCAGAGTACCAAGAAAGAAAGTCAAGTTGATGGTCGACTAGGCTGTGAACCTTCCATCGACTGAGTCGACTAAGATACGTATTGTGTGTATACTGAGCCATCATTTCCTACCTCAATGTTAAAGGTTAGTTCATGTAGAAATAGATTAGGAAAAGGCTTCAGAGTGAAATCATTATCTCAATTATGTAAAACAAAAAGTGTAGACTATCAAGCTAGGGCCCCCGAGACGATAAGAATCAATAGTGGGCGACTCTTGGTGATACAGTTCGAAATCCGTCGCAGTAGTGTAGATCTCTTAAATTAACACTTTCATATTCTTCAACAGTTTGTTAACCTTCACATATTTATTGTGCTACTTAATATACACTTGTTTACTTTGATAACACTTTTTCTATACACTTTTTCCTTGTATGCAAATTTTAGTACAAACATATAATTATGTATATGAATAATTAATCACTAACCATCTATGCATCTTCAACTATTTTTCTCATCTTTTAATTGGTTGTGGCTTAAACATTAGAATCTACGATATACGTTTCATAGTATTTAGGACTAACTCCTCAGCTGGATGTACGTCTACCCCAATAGTGGGTGATATTTTTCCCCAATTGAAATAGCTGATACTGCCTAAATTACTCGAAAAATACATCTTACTACATTTGAATTACTACAACTACCAAGGATGAAGTTCATTACATTAAACTAAGGTCAATGATTCAAAAGGTTAGTACGAATATTCAAGCTTTAGAAGACATGTAAGAGTGAACACATCTCTGTACCATTATGACCGATTTTCAGCTACGTCACCAACAATAACTCAGTCATCAACCACTGTTTTCTATCATCTCGAGGACCCCAACTAGGCAGTCTACATTGCCTCACACTGCCCAGACAAACAGTCACGGACTTCATCGACTGGTTCCACATCTTTGTCTGGCTAACTTCAACTCTCTTCCAGCCTAATCCAACATCCCCTAGCATGGCACGATGAGGTAGACGGTCGGTCGGGATCGCCAGTATATTTCCAAGCCAAATGTCAGTCAACTTGCCTGGTACTCTTCGCCTGACTTCAACATTGCTTACACAGTCATTCCACGAAATGCGAACAGTGCTAACAAGAAACTTGTGATCAAAACGTGTAACTGCTTCATGTCTTCTACTTTCAACGACCATGTCTCATAGCCGTACAACAAGACAGAACGAACTTTAACCGAGTATTCTTTTGATAAGCAGTCAGTTACTTTGCCACAGATCATGCGAGTTGGGAAATATTCAAGCTGAGATTCCTTCAACAACCAGCCACTTCGGTGGATTGAAGAAATTTCTCAAGTGAGTGAGGAGGTCAACACATTCCACCACTTTACTCCTTACCATAGAACTGCGACTACTTGCAGTAGATAAGAATCATCTTTCATTTGACAGGTGCCAAACGCATGTCAAGCATACTCAGATTACCACTCGAGGAAGTCAGAAGAACCTTCATTTTGTCAGAGTCTTCGCTTATCAGGACGATATCGTCTCCGTATTCTAATTCAATCACCTGCTCTTCAAGGAGAATATCAATGCCCATGAAGTTGGAGATACTTAGGGTTATGTCCACGGATACACCTAAAACGAAGTTATACAGAAACAATGGACATCCCTGGCAGACACCACTTGTTGTCGTTAACTTACATGACAACTGTCTGTAAGCCATTACACGGCTACGTGAGTTCGAGTAGAAAGCTTAGACAATCACAACATCTCACGATCGACAGAGTCAAATGCTGCCTTTAGATCAAGAAGTATGGCTAGTTCTGATCGCCAGTAGGTATGCCTATGTTTCAGAAGCTGTTGGAGGATTAAAGTATGATCGATGCACCATTGTCCAGGACCGAAACTTACCTCATTTTCTCGAGTTCATTCTTATCTTACTTCTTTAGTAACCTGGGTAGCAGTGGAATCCAGGACATGCGTTTCGTCCTACTTTGACACTAGTTAGCTGGATATACCTGATTCCCAGTGAGAGATGTTGTTTTCACTATCCATCATTACAACAAACTTGTAACGGTAGGCAATATCAAGACATCCACTTAATACGCTACAATCCATTCAGTTTAATCAACTATGGGATACAAGTTAAAATTTATTTATGCCCATGTTAGATGACAAGATTCAATCGGTAGGGAAACTTGAAGACACGTCTCATGCTTGTTGACACTCACCAGGAAGATATATTTTCAACTATGAGGAGATTGGTATTACTTTGGTGATAGGAAACCGCATCACTTAATGCTGAGGTGAGGCCACAACTACCACACCCCCTTGTAGAACTGAATAGCATAAAAAAGAGTTTATCACAAGTGAGATAGACGATCTGACTATCCAGTTCTTAAAGTGCTAAACGCAGACCGAAGCCTACCAACCAAATCTCCAATGTAGCCATTAGATATATGAAAGAGGCATCCAAACGCATACATATACAAGTAAGTGGACATATATCAACCATACACAAAGATGGAAACTATTTCACATTTTTCAACGGTATGAAAATCATAGACAACAATAACAATAATGATCCATATGGAGAAGAAAATGAAAGGTAAAAACAAGTCTAAAGTGATGAACACAAAAAACGGAAAAGAAAAACTTTGATAAAACGATCAATAAACGATAAATGAATCGAAAATTATCGAGATACCACTGAAGTATACGAATAATTATTAACTAATAGCTATGAATAATAAAACCAGTGGATAAGACAATCGTAGGTGGAATAAATTAACACAAACAAATCAATTTTTTCTTTCTTTTCAAGAAAAACCCGACTTTAGAGAATGTGACCACTACTCGGTAACAAAAGTGGTATCCCTTAGAAGCTTCATATATGTCGGTTGTTTCAACTGCATTCATTGAACAAATTCCTTAAACGTCTAATCAGATTACAATAGGTACAAACAGTTATTTATCCATTGATGATTTATGAAATAATAAAAAAGGGGTGGATGTATATTTTTCACCATCTATAAAAAATTGTCTTCCAGTGACCTTGGTAATAAAATTTACATGAATTACGATCAACTCTATATATATATATTGATTCTGACAAGTGAATTCTACAGTTAACAATTATCAATTGGTTAAAGGCAATCGATATGGAGCCCTAAGGATACAACGTCGGTGGGTGTATATTTGCAACCACTAAGGAATTCATGTACTGTGTCAAATTAATTGTAGTCTGAATAGATAAGTGGTTAAGTATTTTGTTGCAACACTCAATGACGCAGGTTCGAATCCCACAAAAAACATAAGTTCCTTCAAGGTTAAGTCTGGTTGATAAATGCTAACAAACCTAAAACCTCTGTTGACAGTTTTCTACCGACTGCCTTCACCCTATTCACAACTATTAAAGATCATTGTGATGTTGAGTCTTCTAGTCTGGTAATTACACTAAACAAATCATTTTCGTAATCCGGTTAGAATGAAATTGGCTATTTCCCAGTGAATAATAAATGTACACATAATGTAGTATTACAAGAGATCAATCGCAATCCAAAAAGTTCAGAGGTAAGTTGCCTGACTTCATCACTGGATTGTGCATGTTTGAATCTCACAAGCCCCCCCCCCCCCCACCCGCGAGGTTGGCCGATACAACTCACAACACACCATGCAAACTATTACATACTTATCAAGTTTGTTTCTTTTCCTAGTCCACCGTCCTCTCATAGCATGGCACGTAGAGGTAGACGGTGGGCTGAGCATGTGACACATATGTCCAAGTTACTTCATCCGATAAACTTTAAAATGATTCACCTGAATGCAGACAGTAAGGTGGGGAGGAACGATGATGTTACATACTAGATGGAATTATTCGATATAGCTTAGTGATAAGGTTGTGAACTTTAATCCACTGAGACGGCTTGGACATGTACTGTGCATGCCAAACCACTACTGCCTACCTCGATGTATGATGCTTGGGAGGTAAGACTAAATTGGAAGAGAGTTCAGGGTGTGACCAGACCAAGATGTCGCATCAGTCCATGAAGTCACCGACTGTAGATATGAACTGTATGAAACGATGTAGACTACCTGGATGAGGTCCCTAAAACGAAAGGAATCATGGTTGGGAATTGATCCATGATGAAATGACTCAAAATCGGTTAGAATGGCCCAGATATATATTCACTCTTCGGCACTAACTGTCATCTTCAGACTGGTTATTCTCTCATACAACTTTTTCCATTCTGATATCACTCTTTGTCTATCCACTTGTTCATTGTATATTACTTTGATGTGTAACAGCTTGAAGTGATGCATTTGTGTGCAGTGTTCTACGTTGATTATGTCTATATGTCTGTGATAAGGTATTATTAACTGATTGATGCTTCCAGCACAATTTATTGTTTGCCAACGTTGTTGCCAACGATGTAGCTTTTGAAATGGCTAACAAACAGATAAACACATTAACGTAGGAATCAGCAGAGAAGTACATTAGTTCAAATTACCATGCTTCACAGAAGGAGGCAAAGAATAAATAGGTCAAAAACGAATGATACTAAAACAGAACAAAATGTATGAGAGGAACGAGAAAAACAAAATACAATCATCTTTTGTATATCCGTACAGTAGGCAATAAGCCTACTGATACTGCCTGAGCTCGAGACCGTTATCCAATGATTAACAATCATCTCCTGTAAACTACTGAGTGAAGAAATGAATATTAGTGAAAATCGTCCAACTAGCGAAGATTTTACAGAATGAATACACATATTCGCCGGTGTACACCACTTGATGCTTAACAGGTAACAAATTAATTCATATCCCTTGAATGAAAGAAAACATGACAACAATAAAGAAAATTTCTAAAATAGGCATTATATAAACTAACCAAATCATATTCATTTTGTGCACGCATTGATCTTTGACTATTATCAGGATCTTTACCTTTACTTCGAGCTTTTTGATTAGCAGCTAACAGTTTATCTTCAGCACGACGACGTATTCGATCAGCTTCTAATGTTGCAGCCTGTCGATGAGCATATTCACGTTGATCTGTTTGAAGTTTAGATGTGTTGGCTAAAACACGATCTTGGCATGCAGACATCATTTCACGACACTAACAAAGAAAACAGTTACAATATATATAGTTGGTTGTAATAAACTGTGCTGAATAAGTCGATGGGAAATGAAGTAAATTATTATAGCAACAAATGTAATTCAATGATTATCAAAAACTTAACTATTCATAACCAATAGATAAATTGAATTTGGGGGCTTTGTGAGAAGTTAATGATTTCCCAAGTTTGTATTCCTCATGGACTGACATCAGTTAAAAAGGATATTGAAAACCTGGGAGCACTGGAAAGCTGTCTCGTTCGTCTGTTATGGGACTCCTCATCAGTAGTGTGCACCTATGAAGGTCCTAGGTTCGATCCTTGGTGGAGCGGAGTCGTGGGGTGCGCATTCCTGAGGAGTCGAAACAGCTATCCAGCGCTCCTAAGGATCCAATCTTTCTCCAACTGATGCCAGTCCATGATGAATAACAACTTAAAAAATAAACAATGATGGGTCGTGGCTAGCAGTGGAATCCAGGATGCGCATTTCGTCCTATTTGGGACTCGTCAACTGGATGTACCTGCTCCCCAGTGAGTGATGTTGTTCTCACCGAGATTCGGACTGGTTATCGAACTTTACCTTTGCTTTATCTAACTACCTAACGAAAATACTGCTAAAATTCGGTATGTGACAACAAGGACTGATATAAAAATGTGCAGTGGTATCAATTTATCTTACTAATGTAGTAATTACAAGATTTCAAATATTCTACAACTGTGTGAGTTAGTTGGAGATAATCGGCAAGAAGTTATGAGCTTTAGTTTCATGCATGCAAAACCCCTTTTTCCAAAATACACATAACATAATCAAGTTTAAGCGTCTAAAATAAGGAACTATATGACTACGGATGACGTTAACATACCTACAGAAAAAAAAATGAGGAATTTATGAACTACTCTATATTTATCATCAAAAGATTCGATTCCATATCAACGAAACTGATGAGTATACAGGCGGTTGGTTCAACGAAGTACCTGGGGTTTAGCGACCAACACGAAGTCATCATGCATCTGCATCGAACTTTGACTGGCAATCATTAGATAGATGGTAAACTGCTCGTCTAAATCCTGGCAAAGGATATAAATAAACCTGTGCAGGACTCTTGGTGATAGATAAAATTCAACATCTGGAACAATGACCTAGATATGTACCGTAGCTATTATTAACCTTCATCTATTTATTCTCTCGCGACTTTGAAAAGTCCTTCGATTGCGTCAACCAACATCTTATCTGCCAGCTGATTCAACACTACCCTCTTACCGCCACAAACTTTTATCAAACTCATTTAACACCAACTATAAGCTATTTCATGAGGCTACATCTCAAAAGATTCACAATGGAAACCTCACTCATGACTTCCAAGTGAACACACCACTAACACAAAATTACCACCTACTATCAACCATCATCTTTCTCACTGTCGTCAACTACACTCAACTCCACTCCACTCGATTGCATCATACAACAAACTAGGAGGAACAGGAAGATGGCAATACGCTGTTTCACAAATAAAAACACCCTACACAACTTGCATTTCATCGATCACCATTTATATCTCATGTCTTATATCACAAACTCCAAGATCTACATACAAAAATCAACAAGTTGGCAGAACACACAGAGCAGCGAACACGCCACACAACACACAGCTGACGAGAGCACCCAACCAACAACAACAACAACAAAAACAACAACCACCAATCACCATCAACATCAGAAATCAAAACCAAATTGTCGTTTTCAACTACCTACCCACATAACCAGCATCATTCACAATACACGCAACATACGCACACATCACAATGTCAAAGCCAACCAGCCAGCATCGGAAAAACAGTACGACAGACCTTCCTTCCTTCCTTCATTAATCTCAAATCAATCACTGTGCAGATCCACTCAACTCAACTCACCATAAACAACAACATACCGATTTCAAACACTAATCCAGTCAACTTACAACCTCCATACACAGTATACAGACTTGGAGCGTTACCAAAAGCATTTCCATACATCAACACATGTCGTCTACGCTCACTCTATACTCAACATCACATCAGAAGGTCACAAAAATAAGCAACAAGCAATTCTCCATGGTCTGGCAACGAACTAACCAACCAACCAACCAATAACCTATCACAACAACAAATATACACAACATTAGAATGGAGATGGATTCCATTGGATTACGCATACATTGAGAAGACGGTTCAGGGACATCACGCATCAGGCCAGGCCATCGAGTAGAACCGAACAGGGAAACAAAGAATTGGTCGTCTGAGGGTGACATGGAGGAGATGATGTGAGGAAGAAATGAAAGCTTGTGGGCAGTCGTGGAGCCAGGTTAAAAGGCTTCAGAGAATATAGTGGAACGTCGACGTGCTACTGAAGCCCTATATTCCACTAGGAACCCAAGGGATAAATAATAATTTATTCTGTCATTTTATACACTTTCGTCTACTTAATAGTTATTTCCTGTTAGCAAGTTGTCTTCGTGGAGTGTGGCAGGTCTTAGACTGACTTATTTATCTCTCAAATGGCTATGAAAACAAAAATTTTGTAGTTCACTGCTATTTTCACAACTAATATTTGATTAACTTTGTTTTGTTTTCTTCTGTGTGTTACAGCTTTTAAGAAATATAACAAAAACGCTGGGAAAAAACCAAATGTAAGTAATCTAGCTACACTCAAGAGCAGATATGCATTCTTTTTTATGCCTTTCATTAATTATTTAAACTATTCATATTTCTTCTCGTTACTGAAGATCAGATGACCAGGAAGAATAAGCATCAAGGAACTTAGGCCTGGCAACGAACCAACCAAGAACCCATTGCTCAACAAATACGCAGAAGGAAGTGGAGATGGATTGAGCATACACTGAGAAGACCGACTGGCGACATCACGCACCAGGCCAGTAGCTCGAGTGGAACCCAAATGGGAAACGACGAGTTGGGTGTCCGAGGGTGACATAGAGGAGATCGTGCGAGGAGGAAATGAGAGCTAGTGGGCTGTCGTGGAGCCAGGTTCAAAAGATTTCAGAGAACAGAGTGCATTGGAGACGTTCTACTGAAGCCGTATGTTCCATTAGGAACCCATGGGACAAATAATATAATAATATAATTCATATTTGTTATGACAGCGAATAAGAACGGCAGGTTATGCAGTAGGATGATTTAAAAATAATAAAAAAAGTTGATACACTCTCTCTTAGTACGATTATATAAAACTTATGCTAAACACGAATCGTAGCATTGCTCATGCTTGATAGAATCACTGTGTCAATGACGATAAGTTAAGGCTAAGGATGCTAGACAAGATAGGCAAGTCGACTGATAAAGTTGTTAACTTTTATCAACTAGTATGTGGCTTCGACATGTACTGCGTATGCCCTATCCATTGTCTACCTCGATGAGTTATTCTAGTGGAACTTGAATTAGATTGACTTCAAGGTGGCCAGACCAAGACAAGGCACCACCAGTTGTGCAGATGACATCTTTTCTTCAGACTGTGTTTATTCTCTCATACAATTTTATCTCCTTTAATATGACTCCCTTTCTATTCATCTGTTCTTTGTGTACCTACTGTGAAATGTAACACCTTGAAGTGATCCAGTTATGTGCCAAGTTCTACGCTAATTTTGTCTGTGTGTTTATCTATCTATCAATGAATATCTCATGGTCTCTCTATATCTTAAGTTATAATACTGGATAATACAGAAAGTCCTTCTACAACACAGAAGAAAGATGAAAAGTCAACAGGCATCATAAAGATAATCACTGACGATACACCATATGAACATAATGTTTCTAAGATTACGTAATGAAACTATCTGAAAATAGCATGTGAAGAGAGAATATTATATCAAGGGTAAAACAAGGCATAAGTATAACTCAATTACAGTAGGACGCTAACGTTAAATAATTTCAAGATGTTTATCAAAATAGAGGCCATAAATTATGACAAACAAAAAATATTGGTATGCGTTTTAACTAATCGATTCAATGGTCTAGACATACAAAAAGTCAATATAATTGTTCTGACACTACTTTACTTCAACACCAATCGATAAATTTCATCATGGACTAATATCATTTGGAGAAGCACTGGAAACTTGAAGATACATGATAGTTGTTTCGTCCCATTATAAGACTCCTCAGTAGTGTAGATGATGCATGACTTCGCATCATCAGCAACCCTCAGGTTCCATGGCCAGAACGTTAACATTAAGCAACTGGGTCGAAATTTATCGAAATCATGATATGCTGCGACTTCCATACAATGCTGTCGTTGGCTTCAGGAATCACCTCTTGAAACCAGTCACCAATGAACACCAGAATTATTTAATTTGGAGGTTTGTAGGGATTTATTTATTGATTTCAGATTGGATGAAGGATGAATAGTGGTTAACAATGGAATTCAAGACACGTGTTTCGTCCTATATGGTGACTGACCTGTCAATTGGACGTAACTACCTCTCAGTGAAGGGATTTTGTTCCCACTAAGACTCGAAGGTAGGACCAATCCCTTCAAACATCAGAACGTTATCCACTAGGCTATTGAATCACTATAACTACTTCTTAAACAACGGAGATACCATTAGTGTTTACAATACTAATATGAGAGTTAAACAATAAGAGGGAGAAGAGAATACATATTTTACCTGTTTATGCAGGCGAACAGCATCTTCATCCATATCAGCTAAACGTTGAACCATTTGCTTAGAGAAAATATCAGATAATGTTGCATGAGCTTCAGATAAGTGTAATGTAGAACCAAGAAGTGTATTCCATATTGTAGTTGTTGTATACGGAGCCCAATGAGGGCGTCTAAAATAATAACAAAAATATGCTATAAGAAAACACTAACAAGACTAGTTTATGAATTGAATCCAATCAAACAGATGAAATCAATGTAAAACCTTTTGTACAAATGACATATGGGTTCAAGTTGTCACACTTCATGATAGTATACAAAGGTGTACGGGAGGAGGGAGAATTATGAAATGAAAGTTAGTCAAAAACAATCAAGCTTTAAAAAACATTTATGCCATCGTGACCGACTTTTAGGTATATTAATCTCACGAAATCCGGCATGATTCAATATTGGGGTACCAAAATTATCCATTGAACATTTTTCATCAAATTCTTTCCTGCTAATTTGTTTTAATCATTCAAATATATCCTTTGAATGTATCATATACTCTTGAACATTTTTAAATTGTTTTCAACTCAGCATTTCTCAAGTCAATAATAAAGCGAAGAAAAAATGTTATGCTATATGGAAATGAACTTTTAGGTGCACAAAAATACATCACACTTTTCTATTCGTCAGATGTTTAGCTTGAATTTAAGATATCTGTATCATCTGAATGAACCACCACCAACAAACTCACAACTGCATTTCCGTTGATCTTTCATTATGCACCGAATGGCCATCCAGAACCATCTAGATATATCATAATATTGACTAGAATACTGTTATAATTAACATCATTCCGATGAAATAACCGCTGCGTCTAAAAGTACTGTTTTAGGAGTGAATTCATACCGTCATATATACTATTTGTAATAAAGTGATTACTACTACGATTATTATTTGTCCCTTGGGTTCCTAGTGGAACATAGGGCTTCAGTGGCATGTCTCCATTCCACTCTCCTCTCTACAATCTCTCCAACCTGGCTCCACCACAGCCCACAACCTCTCATTTCTTCCTCACATGATCTCCTCCATGTCATCATAGCCTCGCCTCGGACACCCAACTCCCAGTTTCCCACTTGGCTTCCACTCGAGTAACTGGCCTCACCCCTCATGTCCCCAATCGGTCTTCTCACTGCATGCCCAATACAATACATATACACTTCCTTCTACTACATACTTGTTCAGCGATAGCTTCTTGCTTCATTGGTTCGTTCCCAGTCACAGTTCCTCATGGCTTACTCTTTCTAAACATCCTAGCTTCAGTAACTAGTCAGCGTAGACAGTTGTTGATGAATGTCTGCAGTTTGTTGAAAATCCCTTTCGTAATGCTCCAAGTTTCTCAACCATCACATAGAAGCACTGACTTGACTGAATTGGTGTTGAACATTCGGATGTTGTTCACACTTTGGGCCGAGTGAAGAAGATCTCCACACTGGTTTCAGGTTAATGAAAGCCTGTCTTGCTGTCTTTCCAATCCTGGCTGGCTTTGACGTCCCTGTCTGTGTGCCTGTGTTGCCTGTAGTTGAAACAGTGATGCCTCCTTCGAAGGTGAAAGAGGTTACTTACTTTTAGTTCCTCCAGTTGATGGTGATTGGAGCTATTCGTTGTTGGTGGTGTTGTTGGTTGGGTATCTTCATCACCTATGTCTTCTCTACCTTCACTTGAAGTCCCATCTTCCCTGCCCTGTTCTGCCCTGCCCTGAACTGCCTCTTCTGTCAACTTGTTAGTTTTCACCTGTAGATCTCCCAGTTTGTGTGACATTAGACATAAATCATCATCGTTGGTGAAATACAAATTTTCTAGGTTCTTTTCATTGATCCAGCCAAGCCAGCGTATCCCCCTCTTCTCGCTCCTCACTGTTTGTTGCATGATCCACTCGAGTCGACTACAATCAGGAATATGATGGGTGATAGTAGGCGTCAGCCTTGTTTTACTCCTGTCTTCACTTCAAAAGCATCACTGAGCTTTCCATTGTGGATCACTTGGTGTGTGGCGTCTTCATAAAGTTGCTGTTGAATGAGATTGATAAAGGTTTGTGGTATTCAGTAGTGTTTGAGCAGTTGCCAAATTACTTGTCGGTGGAGTCTGTCGAAGGCCTTTTCAAAGTCGATAAAGTGATTACTATAATAACTATTTCTTTGGAATTCTTCAACCACTGTTTGATTCGAAGTAGTCTACACCTCTTTACACGGACCAGTTGAAGTAGTTATGTAAAACCAAAGAGAGTTTACACTGGTCTGACCAATATCTGACACCAGTTGATAAAGTCTTTGACTGTTGATATGAGTTATGTATAACGATATCGACTGCATGGTTGGGGTCCTTGAAACGAAACGAATTAGTAGTTAAGGATTTAAACGTGGTAAAATGGCTGAAAATCGATCACAGTGGTACAGATGTATTCACTCCTTGACATCTTCTAAAGTTTGAGTATTTGCACTAACCGTTATCTTCAGATTGTTCATCTCGTCATACAACTTTGTCCACTTTGATATCATTCTCTTTCTACTAACTTGTTCTTTGCATACTACAGTAAAGTGTGGCAACTTGATTAATATAGGTGTAAAACTTGGGCACTGGTAAAATTTAATTCCATATTAGATTTGTTTATTTGATTTATAACAGACAGTGATCTAGTATTACTCACTGGATGACGTTTCGAGCATCAATTCTCTATTGCTCATAATCATATCAGTATGTAATCACACTCCACTTTCGACAGACGATTTTTATAGGTATGTCACCTCATATGAATTGTTTTTAGTATTAGTAGCAGAATTTTCTATATCTCTGGTATGCATGGGTGTTACATCATTTCTATTACATGTGTAGGCTGGGTGTTGGTTGATTCGATAAACAAAGATTCAGTAATCAATCAATCTCTGTCTCTCTCCACCTAATTATATTGGACTTAAGTATAGTGGCTTTATCTCACCCTTTCTATTGTGTGGTAGTGTGTTAATGTATGCATAGCCAAGTTCACAGCCTCCATTGTATTACCCTATAAGGAGGGGGTTACCTCAGAAACTTCATGTAGAATCCTAAACAGAGCTGGAATTAGGGTGGCATTTAAAACCTACAAACTTACTCAGAGATAAACTGTGTCGACTGGCTTAAGGATCCGATAGAACCAATTAAGCAAAATAATATAATCTATCAAATTCCATTTAATGACTGTGAGTCAGGTCAAGTACATAGGTCAAACTAGTCGGTCGGGGTCAGTTAGAATGACAGAGGTGAATAAAATCAATAATCTAGAAAAAGACTCGACTATTGCTATGCTTGCATTAACACACTACCACACAATGAGGTGGGATAAAGCTACTGTACTTAAGTCCAATATAATTAGGTGGAGAGAGACATAGATTATCGAATCAACCAACATCCAGCTCCCAATAAAAACAACGCATATGAGGTGACATAACTATGAGAATCGGCTGTCGAAAGTGGAGTGTGATTACATACTGATATGATTATCAGCAATAGAGAATTGATGCTCGAAACGTCATCCAGTGAGTAATACTATACCATTGTGTGTTATAAATCAAATAAACAAATCTAATGTGGCAATTTAAGTCGATGCACTGAGATATCCTTGTCAACATATATTTATCCCATAGTTCAAAAGACATTATAAACAACTACATCATATCGAACTATCAATCTCCTGAAGCGGTGAAGATCTTCATTTCACCCTCCTAGAATTATCTAGTATCAATAGAACAAGTCTACTAAATCATAACTATCTCAGATAGTCAAAATGATAATCATGAAGTGAATCCCTTCGATGTGAAATGAAAATCAGATCAATTCCATTTTAGTCTGTTTATTAGAAATGTCACATGCAGTAGAGGAATAGTATCATTTACTGGATAACGTTTCGGACATAATTTATTGTCCATATTCATATTAGGTAACTCCACAACATCAAGACAGAGTTAATATAGTCCTAGTTTTCTCTCCTTCTCTATGATGACAACGGTAGTAGAATCTTCCATATATCTGAGACAGGTACAAAATCATTCCTGTTACTGCATGTATTTGGTGTTGATTTGATAAACAAAGATTCGGTTATGAATCTCTCCCTCTGTCAACCTAACTAAGTTTTCAACTGTCGTTCTATCCCATCCTACTGTGTGATTGTGTGTAATTGCATGTAGAGCTGTAGCCGAGCTTTTCTCTAAATTTCTTAACTTATTAGGATCTACTAATCTTGATTTAGTTTTTGTGCTCTGTTATTCTAATCAACCCTGGTCGACTGCTTTGACCTATGTATTTGACTTCGCAATTCATTGCAAAGGGATTTGGTAAACCAGATTATTTTGCTTGATTGTATCAATAGGATCTCTTGACTTTCAAGGCTTGTTTCTAAGTGAGTTTGTAGGTTTAAAAGCCACTCCAATTCTAGCCAGCCTTATTGAGAATTCTTCGTAATGCTTCTGAGATGCCTTTCTTGCACGGTAACACAGCAGAGGCTTTGAATTCTCTCTCAACTCCGTCACCATTATTACCATAAGTAGTAGGATTATTATTATTATTATGATTATCATTACTCATCATCATCAATATCAACATGGGACCAGGCATTACTGTGTAAAAATCCGAGTTACCACACCTCATATCACTACATCAAGTAAACAAGGCAATGAGGCGCAAGATGAAGATAAGAAAATTTAGTCAAAACAAATATAAAGTACGAAAAGAGAGAAAAGAATGAGAAAATGGTGAGGTTCGATATAGCATCGTTAAGATGAGAATAATGTGTGTATACATCTGAGCCACTGACATCGATTCTGAGCCATATCACCTACAATCAGTCTCCAACCACTGTTGGTTCATCTTGTCCCGCCGACCCCAACCGACTAGTATGTATCGCCCCACGTGGCTCAAACCAACAGTCAGAGACTTCATACAATGGTGTCATGTTTTAGTCTGGTCACCTCGGGTCTTTTTCCAGCCTGGACCTACTTCGGCCAACATTGTGTGACGAGGCAATCGGCAACTAGGGATTATTATTACTACCATCAATAATATTTTTCTTACGATTTGTAAATTTACGTGAGTAGTTATCGAGATGCGAAGTATTCTTGATGTATCTAATTTCTTGTCATAGATTTTCTGGTCTACTGGTAAGCTTTTTCGCCTTATCACTTTAGCATTTAATTAAGCCTACTTTAACTGAAATGGAGTAGTAGAATTTTGAAGTCTAAGTAACGATTCGAATGAGTAGGTTTCCTATAGACGACGCTCGTCTCTAAACACTTCCGTTTTGTGTTTATTTAATCTTGTAATCCAAAAATCTTAGCTCACCTCCTTCATATTCTAAGTCATAGGTAAATTGGATTATATTCACTAATGTATTTCTATGTACTAGATAAGAAAATCTGGAAAAGTCAATTTTATGATATACATACTGAATTGAACTTTGAAGTGGAAATGATCCACTGAACTAGAAATCATACATACATACATACATATATACATATATACACATATACCTATCCATTGGATTATATTCATCGTTTTTGCATGGAATGAATTGACATTTATGTTTATATTCTGGTTGTATATATATTTTTCACAAATATAAATCTTTTTTTCAATGTTCAACAGTGGAAATCAATTTTTTAAAAACTTCAACAATCAAAGAATGATCTCGAAAAAGGAAAATCCATTTTACACTTTATATTTACACTTATAATGGCATAAATTAAAATGTATAGTTTGATATGAAGGAGGGATTTAGGAGATTATTCTTACTTAATCTGGAATACTTATTTATAAACTGGTATCCATCATGGATTGATATAAGTTGGAGGGATAATGAAAATCTGAAAGCACTGGGCAACTGTTTCGTCTGACTAGTGTGTAACTCCTCAGCAGTGCGTACCCATGACCTCGACTATAACAGGGGTTGAACTCTACAACCTTCAGATTTCGTGGCCACCATGTTACTATTGAACCACTACATCGGAATCAAATGGTCCATACTTCCAACTTCTGTCAGTTCATGATATAGCGCAACCTTCATCCAATGTAGATGAGTAAGTCTTAAAATCTTGACACCAAGAGCTACTCCTAAGGTATTATTCATCACGGAAGTCAACAAAAGACCTTCGTGGATAATTGCATATATATCACGAACAGGAAACTATAGACAACCGAACTCTGACTCAATAGTTGAATCCTTAACGTGTACATCACGAGACATGAACCACCGAAGTTCGGTCTTATGCAACCTTAAGGGTGTTTCTACTGCTGCGGAGCCTCATACCATGAAGAAATAGATCTCCAATGATTCCAGGTTTACAGAGGTTCCCAAAATGAAGACAGCTCCTGATGAATACCACCTTCAGAAAAATAAGATCTCTATAAACCGCAAAGTCAAATCAAGATTCACAACCGGTGCAGGCTGGTTGGCTTCAGGAAAAACAAATCATGTGAGGATCAAATTGCAACCCTACGCTACGCATCATCATAGAATAGAGTATACAATGGCAGAATGGCAAATCTTTACCTCAACTTCATTGACTTTGAAAAGGTCTTCGATAGCGTCGATGAGGAAGTTATTTACCAGCTGCTTTAACGCTACCCTCCTACCGCCACAAACTTTTATCAAACTCATTTAACACCAACTATAAGCTATTTCATGAGGCTACATCTCAAAAGATTCACAATGGAAACCTCACTCATGACTTCCAAGTGAACACACCACTAACACAAAATTACCACCTACTATCAACCATCATCTTTCTCACTGTCGTCAACTACACTCAACTCCACTCCACTCTACTCCATTGCATCATACAACAAACTAGGAGGAACAGGAAGATGGCAATACACTGTTTCACAAATAAAAACACCCCACACGACTTGCATTTCATCGATCACCATTTATGTCTCATGTCTTATATCACACAAACTCCAAGATCTACATACAAAAATCAACAAGTTGGCAGAACACACAGAGCAGCGAACACGCCACACAACACACAGCTGACGAGAGCATCCAACCAACAACAACAACAAAAACAACAAAAACAACAACCACCAATCACCATCAACATCAGAAATCAAAACCAAGTTGTCGTTTTCAACTACCTACCCACATACCCAGCATCCTTCCAACTACACGCAACATACGCATACATCACAATGTCAAAGCTAACCAGCCAGCATCGGAAAAACAGTACGACAGACCTTCCTTCATTAATCTCAAATCAATCACTGTGCAGATCCACTCAACTCAACTCAACTCAACTCACCATAAACAACAACATACCGATTTCAAACACTAATCCAGTCAACTTACAACCTCCATACACAGTATACAGACTTGGAGCGTTACCAAAAGCATTTCCATACATCAACACATGTCGTCTACGCTCACTCTATACTCAACATCACATCAGAAGGTCACAAAAAATAACCAACAAGCAATTCTCCATGGTCTGGCAACGAACTAACCAACCAACCAACCAACCAATAACCTATCACAACAACAAATATACACAACATTAGAATGGAGATGGATTCCATTGGATTACACATACATTGAGAAGACGGTTCAGGGACATCACGCATCAGGCCAGGCCAGGCCAGGCCATCGAGTGGAACCGAACAGGGAAACAAAGAATTAGTCGTCTGATGGTGACGTGGAGGAGATGGTGTGAGGAAGAAATGAAAGCTTGTGGGCAGTCGTGGAGCCAGGTTTAAAAGGCTTCAGAGAATATAGTGGAATGTCGACGTGCTACTGAAGCCCTATATTCCACTAGGAACCCAAAAAATAAAGAATTATAATAATCATCACGGGTCGACCTTGGCTGGGTTTTCAGTGTTTACTGCTAAGGAGTCCAATACTTTGACGAAACAGCTATCCAGTTATCCTGGGTTTTAATGACTTTCTCTCAAACTAAACATAAAATCAATAAAAATGATACTTCAGAAACGAGTACCAGTGAGCACAAACCCTCCAACAAAAGTCGAAGTCCTGTGTGCCACTAAGCTACAGAAATGCAGGAAAGCAGCAGCAGATGGAATCCCGCCAGAAGCACTGAGAACAGATACAGAGACAACAGCGGACATGCGCACACCACACCACTATTGCAGAAGGTCTGGAAGGAAGAGAAGGTACCTGCTGATTGATTGAAAGAAGGGCTATCTTGTCAAACTCCCAAAGAAGGGAGACCTAAGCCTTTGCAAGAACTGGCCTGGAATTACGCTCCTGTCCACCCAAAGCAAGCAAAATATTAAGCCGCATCATCCTGGAGAGACTAAAGGATGCGCTGGATTCAAAATTACGACCGGAACAGGCTGGCTGGATTCAGGAAGTACAAATCATGTGCGGACCAAATTGCAACACCACCCTTCGCATCATCATACAACAGAGAATAGAATGACAGTCAACTCTCTACCTCAACTTCATCAAATTTGAAAAGGCCTTCAACAGACTCCACCGACAAGTAAGTTGGCAACTGCTCAAACACTACGGAATACCACAAACCTTTATCAATCTCATTCAACAACAACTATATGAAGATGCCACACACCAAGTGATCCACAATGGAAAGCTCAGTGATACCCTCTAAGTGAAAACAGGAGTACAACAAGGCTGACGCCTACTATCACCCATCATATTCCTGATTGTAGTCGACTCGAGTGGATCATGCAACAAACAGTGAGGAGCGAGAAGAGGGAGATACGCTGGCTTGGCTGGATCGATGAAAAGAACCTAGAAGATTTGTATTTCGCCAACGATGATGATTTATGTCTAATGTCACACAAACTGGGAGATCTACAGGCGAAAACTAACAAGTTGACAGAAGAGGTAGGGCAGCGGAGATGGGACTTCAAGTGAACGTAGAGAAGACAGAGGTGATGAAGATACCCAACCAACAACACCACCAACAACAACAAGCTCCAATCACCATCAACTGGAGAAACCCAAAGTAAGTAACCTCTTTCACCTACAAAGGAGGCATCACTGTTTCAACTACAGGCAACACAGGCACACAGACGAGGACGTGAAAGCCAGCCAGGATTGGAAAGACAGCAAGACAGTCTTTCATTAACCTGGAACCAGTGTGGGGATCTTCTCCAGTCAGCACAAAGTGTGAACAACATCCGGATTTTCAACACCAATTCAGTCAAGTCAGTGCTTCTATGTGGTGGTTGAGAAACTTGGCGCATTACGAAAGGGATTTTCAACAAACTGCAGATATTCATCAACAACTGTCTACGCTGACTAGTTACTGAAACTCAGATGTCCAGAAAGAATAAGCCATGGGGACTCTGGCCTTGCGACGAACCAACGACGCAAGAAGCTATCACTGAACAAGTATGTAGTAGAAGGAAGTGTAGATGGATTGTATTGGGCATGCAGTGAGAAGACCGATTGGGGACATGAGGAGTGAGGCCAGTTGCTCAAGTGGAACCGAGATGGGAAACGACGAGTTGGGTGTCCGAGGTGAGGCTATGATGACATGGAGGAGATCATGTGAGGAAGAAATGAGAGGTTGTGGGCTGTGGTGGAGCCAGGTTGGAGAGATTGTAGAGAGGAGAGTGGAATGGAGACATGCCACTGAAGCCCTATGTTCCACTAGGAACCCAAGGGACAAATAATAAATAAGTTATAAGTGTAATCTATCAAAAGTTTTTTTTTAAATGAAGAAACTTACTTTGCTGTTTCATTTACATGACGCTGTTTCAATCCATTAGCTAATTTAGCTAAAGCATCTGCGTAATCCTGTTCTACACTAGCTCGACGACGATAAAAATCTTGTAATTCAGCGACTACAGTACAATCAATATCCAATTTAAGATCTAGACATTTTAATTGTTCTGTAAATTGGTTGCGTAAATCTGTAATATAAGCAGAAGAAGAAGAAGAAGAAGGACAAAATGAAGAAATATATAATCTCAAGTTTTTTATTCATTGAAGACTAACATCAGTCAGGGGAACAAATGAAACCTGGAAGTACTGGATAGCTGTTTCGTCCTGGTATGGGACTCCTCAGCAGTGCTCACCCATAATCAATATTTACCCAATACAATGTATACACGTGTGTTGAGGAAAAACAACAAAAAAACCCATAACCAATTGATAAGGGGGTATAAAGTTAAACAAAGATAACAGACTATAACACTATAAAGACTAAAATATACATCTCATTGAGAAAAACAACTATTTCAGTGCTACGAATAGAGGTAGATAACAATAAGTGATATGATAGATAGAAATCAGTTCTTATTCACTGATTTCTATCGATTCGGAGACCCCAACTAGCCATTCTACGTCTTACCATATGGCTCCAACCAACCAATAGTCAAGGACTTAAACCCAGGCACCATTTTGTACTATCTTCATTGAATTATTAGGCAGATTGAATCTGGACCCTACCGTTATACATTTGATGACGTCACTTAGCCACAATGTTTACCGTGTAAGGATAAAAACAACTGCGATCCTTATTATTATTATTATTATTATTATTATTATTATTATTATTATTATTATTATTATTACCTTGGAAGTAGTTTTCATCATGGACTGATATCAGTTGGGGAACCATTGAAAATCTAGGAGCACTGGACAGCTGTTTCATCCAACTAGTATGGGACTCCTCAGCAGTACGTACCCACGACCCGGCTAGGGAATCGAACTCAGGACCTTCAGGTTTCACGGCGAACGCGTTAACCATTCAGCCACTGCTAACCATGCTAACTGAAGACCTTGGGTGACAGTCGCGCTATGTCGTGAATTGACAGAAGTTGGGAATTGTGAGCCACTGGAAACCAATCCACTACCTGAATGGTTAACGTGTTCGCCGTGAAACCTGAAGGTCCTGAGTTCGATTCCCTAGCCGGGTCGTGGGTGCCTACTGCTCAGGAATCCCATGCTAGTTGGACGAAACAGCTGTCCAGTACTCCCAGATTTTCAATGGTCCCCCAACTGATGTCAGTCCATCAAAAATCCCCATTCATTTAAAAAATACATTATTATTATTATTATTATACAAACTACAGAGTACAACTTTTTTTTACCTATAAGATTAAAATTACCTACACGTCTTTCGTGTGTTTTATATGACCAATGGAAAAGAGAACATCACTAAAGGTGAATACTTTGAACAGCTACAATTTATTCAGCTGATTTCTATGGAATGATGTGGGGGAAACTGGATAAATAAACTTCAGTGAGTCACACTTGGTGTGTAAAGTCTAATAATACTACCTGCCTATCAGGTCTATGGTAAGTGGAACGGGGTTAGAACCCACTGGTAAAAAAGTTGAGCGATATCCGAGTCTACTGCGCTATAGTTTGCTCCGTTCTACTTTTTGGTTGTGAAACATGGCTATTAGACGTAGAGAAGATAAGGATAGTTCAGATATTCCACTACAGTTGCTTTCGGTAACATAGACTATGTGTTATGGTGTCAGAAAGTCCATAATATAGAAGTCAAGTAGAAGAGGAAAGCTATAGATACAGCTGACTGGGAAATACGTTATGCATGTCTAGTGACCAACTTTCCCATCGTGTAGTGTACGCTGAATTAGGTTTCTACTGGACAAAGATTAAAAAGCCACTAAACTAAAACATAACACTGTTCTCTTTCAATGACTTTCATCCTCATTTCACCATCTTTCATTTTGGTGAATTCTCACTTGGTACGCTGATATGCGGTGCAGTAACATGGACAGTTACAAATTAATATCACGTCATATGTGGCAGTCAGTTATTGACTGGCTGATATTCATATAGCTGCTCCAGTGCCATGGTTGATATTCGCCAAAAATATTAGCGTACAAGCATCAATAATAAGAAAACACAAAACAGTTTTACCAACTGAGTTTATGATGTCAAACATGAAACGGTAGTTCTAACTGTCAAGTTTCAGCATTACCGACTATATTATTCACGACTTATAAATGATTTTCAAATTCTTAGCAGGAAATGGTTGAAATATAGCAATAATGATGGATATTGGCCAGCAGTGGAATCCAGGATGCGTATTTCGTCCTATTCGGTACTCATCAGCTGGATGTGTAATATAAGCAATAATACTAAAAATTGAACTGCTAGTTTTTTTTTCGAAACACTAAGGTTTCTTAAAAAAATCTAGTGAACACATTCGAATGAGTTATATAAACAAAAACAATAGCCTAAATCTTTTACATGGTAACCATACATGAATGAACATTACTGACAAACAGATAGATAAAACTAAAGTACAACCTGCACCACTTTAAGTTGCTACATTTTATAGTAGTATACGAAGAACAGGTAGACGCTTTCCAAAAGTATCTTGGAGCACTATCCCTGCATGGTTGTCGAGGGGAGAATGCAAATCAATTAACAGTTCAATTCTTGAACATTTGATCAATTCTGGAAATAAAGCTAGACAAGAATCTTCCTTCAATGTCATTTATCGTGTCAGATGGAATAGTTCAAAAGGAGTACACCTTCGACAGTTGTGCACAGTGGAGGCACTGCCAATTCATCAATTCAAGCCTAATCTCTGCGTGCAAAAGAAGTATGTTCAATCTCTCATCTTACCATGGTCTTAACACTTTCATTTTTTTCGATTTCATTAGAATTAATTAGTTTACTGTTATTATCACCTTCATTATGACCCTTGTCTCATTCTTCACCTTCTTTACATCTATCTGCTGTCAAGTAAACATTTAATACTTGCGTTTCTTGTCTACCAACAAATTTCACCTTGTCAAACTCCTTTCCTTCCTCGATGTTTCTACTGTCTTAGTTTATTACGCAACTACTTTGCATTCTTGATCCCGGGTTTTTTTTAGCACTAGGTTAATGATGTAATTATACCCTATGGTTTTATAATAGACTTATATGCTTATTATATATATATATATATATTCAGTCGGAGAACCATTGGAAACCTTGGTGAACTAGACAGCTGTTTCGTTCCAGTACAGGACTCTTCAGCAGTACGCACTCACAACCTAGCTTGGGACCTTCAGGTTTTACATTGAACACGTTAATCATAGTCGTGGAGGAGTTAATTTTCAACCAGTGAATCACAAGTTCCAAAACCGTTCCACTTACTAGGGTTTAAGCAATCAGGCAGTATTAGTAGCCCTCGAATATAAGGTATGGCTTATTGTCTATTGCACGAATATGTAAAAGATAGCTGAATGAACTTGAGATGATTTTAACTATTATACACTTGTTAATTGGATATGAACACCTTCTTCACCATACTTCATGCGTCTCATATACCTCTTAATAACTCCACTGCACTAAACCCTCTTCTCACTTATTATTGTTTTTTCTTTGAAAAAAACTTTCCCAACCTCAATTACAAATATTACCAACTAAAGTTTGAAACTCATATAAATCTGTAATATTTCGTCGTTATTTTGGTATACTGTTTATGCTATTTTTCGCCTACAAAACTTTAAATAAGGTAAACAAATGTATTTCATAACAAAGATGACAATTTATAGTAATGATAGGCAGTGGCTAGCAGTGCAATCCAGGATGAGTATTTCATCTTATTTGGCATCCTGGATTCCACTGCCCATCATTACAATACATAGTTAAAAAAACAGGCAATATCAAGGCATCCGCACAGAAGCCAATATGCCAACAGTGACTGATCAATTCAATCCAATCAACGACAGTGTAATGCAAACAATGACACCAAGATGGTAATTATTCAACTTTTTTGTTAATGAATTACCAATTTGGATCGATTTTTTTTTCTTCAGGAAAAGTAGACTTTACATTGGTTGATGGAAAAGAAAATCATATTAGTATATGAGAAAATCATTTAGAATTTTATCAAAACCACCAGACAACATGTAAAGTGAAACTGTACTCAACAGTACTGATATTACTATAGTTTAACACGGTTATTTTCCTCAAAAATGCATTCCTATAGAAAACTGATAATTTCATATATCTTGATGATTTAATTCAGAGAACTTTAAACGCTGACAAATTATAAATTTTGTTGTCCATATGCTCAATAGTGACACTGAGAGTTAAATGTAAATTGCATAGACTGACCATTTCCTATTGTGTTTATCAGTTCAACTACTCCTGTGGAGGTAATTACGTCGGTTGGTGTAATAACAATCTAATTTTCAGTGCTTGTGAAAATTTTCCAGCATGGTTAAGATAAGGTGTAGTAAAGATCATTACCAATTACATATTAGTACAGTTGATTGGAATGAAACATAAGCTTCCTATCCACTTGCTAAAAGGGATCTAGCTCAGAATCTTTCAGACAACAGAACCAGTAGCAATCAGGATTAAACAATTCAAGTTGTCTGTTCATAAAAAGCAAGTATTGTTGCTACAACTACCGTGACCGAATATTCAAGACATACAAATTCCTTTATATCCCAACTTCAGGTAATTTTAATTCTCTAATTCCATATTTTAGATACCCCTTCATCCTTGTCATCTGCAGTCATTTCGGCATATTCACTTAACCTAGTGTTACTGAAGCCGTATAATTGTTAAGATAACCAACTATTTTGTTCAATTGAATTCTAATGATCATTCATTCTATCATGCACATTCACACAAGACTTTTGTGAATTGACTTTCTCAAATGAATAATACTACTAACAAAGTAATCAGCGACATCTCGATATTTTTGATGCATAATACCTCAATATGGGCATAAAAAAAACTGTAGAACGTGAAGAATGAGAGAAAGTTATCCAAGAGAATATTCTTTTTTTCTCTACTCAAATGACTTTTGAATTATACTGGGAATTTTTAATTCATCATCATGAACATAGGACTAGGCATTACTGTGTAAGAATCCGAGTTGCCATACCTCATATCACTACATCAAGTAAACAAGGCAATGAGGCGC